ACGCACTGACAGGTTCATTGTGAATCACCTCGAATGTAATGCGGCACAGTACATTTAACTTTCGATTACGTGTTTATTGTAGCAAATGTTTTTTCTGATCGATTTAAATCATTCGGTTTTTGTACAGAGTCTTCAACAATACCCGTAGCACATATGTGACAAAATTGATGTCATCAGTTGGATAAAAATAATATTATTAACTTTAGTGGTAACTCTAAAACAATAGCACATATTTGACAGAATTGATGTTTAAGTTGTCATAAAGGTTACTGAGAACGTCCATTTTCATTAAATTTCTTGCTTTTCCTAAATTTATTTAGGGTATTTTATTTTAATATGTTCCATAAAAATGGTTTTAAAGTTATCTAAAAAAACTAAAAATTCTTAAAGACCACTTATTCTAATGCAAAGAATTATGAAAAAAATTAATTTGCTTTCAATGTTCTATTAATCTTATATACTGGCTTTATAATAGTCTTGATATTGGCCGTTTTAAGGCTAGTTAGCTATTTTAAACGATTAAATAGCAAGTTGGTTTTAAAACAATTCATTTTGAGACAAAGAGTTAATGTAGTTTTATGTGTTGAGTTTTAGCATTTTGTAATTTATAGCTGAAAAGGTATTTTAAAGGTAGAAAGTCAAACTGTACTCGAAGACTACAGAAGTAAAGGACTTTATACAAGCTTAATGTGAGAAACATTTTCAGAAAAGCCGAGCTGCATAAAGTATCTACTGAATCCAGTCTTCAACTATTCCATGAGAGATTAGGACATCAGTGTAAGAACATGTAAGAGAAGTGATAGAACCTGAATTTGGAATAAAACTTAATCTATATAAAGATTTATGTGAAAGGTGTATATATGGAAAAGCGAACAGAAGAAAGTTTGGAACAAGCCTCTAAACCTGATGAGATTATACATTCTGATGTTTGTGGGCGTTTGTCCAATCAATTTCTGCATATCGTTATTATGTTTTATTCAAAGATGATTTTTCACGTTACAGAAAAGTATTTTTCATAAAAGAAAAATCTGAAGTAGCGAAAAAGATGGAACAAATTATTCTTTAAACGAAAGCTCTTGGGCATATGGTACAAGAATTTTTATCAGACAACGGCGGCGAATTTGACAATAAGTCTGTAAGAGAAATATTGCTACAACATGATATAAAACACCGTCTCGTGATGCTCCAGAACAAAATGGTTCTTCAGATCTTTAATGCATGCACATGGAAGTATTACTCAAGGATTATGGGTCAAAATGATTAACTCAGCTAAATATATTTTAAATATTAGCGGATGTTCAACTGTAAGGGATAAGTCTCCTTCTGAAATTTGGACTGGTAAGAAACCTGGTCTAAAACACGCATTATAGGCACCACATGCTATGCTCATATTCCAAAGCAGAAAGAAATTTAAAAAGAAAGCTGTCAAAGGGATCCTAGTAGGTTAGGATGGAACAGATGGATATCGAGTATGGAGCAGAGATCACGAGATGTTATTTTTGAAGAAAATCCGTTAACTAGCAGCGAAGGAATAAGTCTGAAAAGAAAGGAAGATGAATCAAATGAAGAGGAAAATAAAGAAAGAGAAGAACATCCTGATAGAATAAATGAGACGTTAGAAGATTCAAAACCAGATAAAGATCAAGAAGAAGATTATAATAAAGATAGTATTGAAAATTTAAGTCGAGTTTTGAGAGACAGATCCAAGATAAGAATTCCTCAAAATTTTAATGATTTTGTTATGTCAGCTATAACAGATATCACTCAAATTTCTGAACCTTCTTCCTATCAACAAGCTATAAGTAGCATTGATTGTGATAACTGAAAGAAAGCCACGGACAGTGAAATTAATTCATTAAAAGAGAACATGACTTGGACTCTTCAAAAACTTCCCAAGGGATTAAAGTAGGTATTTAAGATAAAAGATAATTTTGATGGTTCGAGTCACAAATATAAATCTCGTTTAGTCATAAAAGGCTTTTCTCAGAAGAAAGGTGTCGATTATGATCAAACGTTTAGCCTAGTAGCTAGAGTAGGAACTGTAAGAGCTCTATTGAGCTTTGCAGAAATTAAAAAACTAACTTTCTGGAGAATAGATATTCATGCAACAACCTCAGGGTTATAATGATGGAACTCACAAAGTATACAGATTACACAAAAGTTTATATGGACTCAAGCAGGCCCCTCGTTGTTGGAATAGAAGGTTTGTAAGATTCTTAGAACAATTTAACGTTAAAAAGAGTGAAGCTGATCCATGTCTCCTTGTCAAAAAAAGTGGAGCTGATAAACTTTTGCTAGTAATTTATGTAGACGATGGACTGGTAGCTGCTACAAAGCATGAGGTACAGGAATCATTAGAAATGCTCAGAAATTAACTTAAAATCACCATCAAGTCTGGAACCTATTTTCTAGGTATAGAAATAGAACAAAGAATTGATGCAATTAAAATTCATTAGAATAAGAATATTAGAACGTTTTAAAATGGAAGACACCCATTATAAAAGAAACCTAAGATGAATAAATTAATTTTCCTTATAGACAAGTAGTCACTTATGTATCTAATGATAGCTACTAGGCGAGATATAGCATATGCAGTTAGAGTAGTTTCCAGAAATTTAGAAAATCCTACTAAAACAGATGTGATCAGAGTAAAGAGACTATTAAGTTATCTACAAAGTAGTAAACATTTTGGGATAATATATAAATCGAATTATAAGAGTGGCATCCTGGAAGGTTACAGTGACGCATATCATGGCGGAGATAGTCTGTCTGAATGATCTACTTCTGGTGTTGTTTGTTTGCAGGAGGACCCGTAACATGGCTAAATCAAAGACAAACGTCTGTTGCTATTTCACCAACCGAAGCAGAAGTCGTTGCAGCCAGTGAAGCCGCACGTGAAATAATTTGGTTAAAGCGCCTTTTCTAAGAGTTGACAAAGATTCGTCTTACAGAACTACAAGTTGATAACGAAACTGCTATTAGAATATCATCGACGTAGAAAACATATAAGGATCAGACATTTTTGTATACGCGAGCTTGTAGTGGAAGAGGAAATCTTAGTAACGAAGGTTTCATCTGAAAATCAGTTAGCTGATCTCCTGACGAAGCCTATTCCAAAACCAAGATTACAACAGTTGATGATGAAAATGGGACTAGATGTTTAAAAATTTTAAATGAGGGAAAGCGTTAAGTTTTAACATTTTGTAATTTTTAGGTCCCTTATTTCATACCGTCTATATATTCGTTTGTAATTTAGTTTTTTTACACTATTTAGACCCTTATCCTCTACACTCCTGGGACATATAGCTGGTCCCTAATTATTAAAAACACGTAAATCGTGACATTTCTTTATAAGAACACGCTTAACGTGACAATATGTTCGTTCGTTCGTTTGAAGTTTACAAAAATATACTGACAGAATTTTGAAAAGAAAAAAATTTTAATTTCATTTTTTATAATAAAGAGTTTTGCCAAATCCCTACAAACTTTATTTAACAAAACTGCCGTCTGCTACATTATGGAGTACCCTCTTTTAAAAAAATACTATTTTATACTCACTAGTAATACCACTAGAGGTCAAATTATTTCCTGATATTAATTTGACCTCGCGTGGTATTCGGTAAGGAAATTCCACGCCGAATTATGGTTGAAAATTAAATATTTTTAAAATTTATTTTTCGTTTCTCAACAATGCAAATTATTTTCTCCAAGTCGCCAGTGAAACATAAAAGGTGTTGTCGCCTTGATTGTTGAGTTGTCATGGTAACTAAGTGAGACCCTAACCTCGAATATAATTTCAGTTTTGAAGTTGTCAAGCGGCCCGACGTAAAAAAATGTTTCGCTGCAATTATTTAGGCCTTCAAATTGCTTATTTCTACTCATTGTAGTTGCATGGGAATACCATTTGAAAATAGAAAATAGTATATTCTTTAACTTTACGTAAGTTTTGAATAACTACAAGTGGTAGAAAATTGTTTTTCTGCGTTTTTATTAACATGCGTTATGAGCGCTTTAAAATGGTATGAAATTCATAATCAGCGTCAGCAAGCATCAATCGTAGGAGGCTGTGATCATTGTATTTTGACAGTTCAAAACATTAAATAACTCGCGTTTTGTTGCGATAAAGAATATTGCACAGCAAGTAAAACCAACAAAATTACCTATTTGTTTAAAAATGAATCGATTTGAAAATCATACGCTATGCAAAATATGCGTGAAATTGTCTGATGTAATGATCAATCATTGCACCATGACTTACTTACTCGGATTAATAGAGGATTGTGGCTCCAACTTGAAAAACGAAAATTTGTTCCGAATTGTCCACGAATATTTGCACCTAAACTACGCAAAATTCAAAGTGCTGAATGGGAAAAAGGTGAATAAATTAGTGTCTAAATATTATATATATATTTTATTAGACATAGACACATAATTCAAAGCATCCAAAGTCCTGCATTTTCGCCATTAAAAAGAAAAGAAGTGGCCGAAGAATATAGAAAACACCTTAGCATTGTAACTAAAATGTATCAAAACTAAACCTATTTTGTGAACAAATAAAAACCAGTCTGTCAAAAATGGTCTGTTATTGTAAACGTCAAAAAATTTCCAGTATAATTCGCTGTTGGGTACCCCACGAGAAAAAAAATTCCACTAAAATACCTCCGTTGCCATGGTGATCTGTCAAAAACACGTATTTTGATTGGTTCAAAATTACAGGTGTGGAATTTTCAATAAAATTCCACATTAAATCCAAATACAAAATTTTTATTTTTTAAGACGGAGTTTACAAGCCATAACATTCAAAACAAAAACTATTAATTAACTAAACTGTTGATAGGTGGTGATTAGATGCATTTCTGCGTAATTATTAAAAACGCAGCGCCTAAATTTGTGCACGCACGGGAGAGAGAACCAAAAACTTTTTTTGGAAGAAACTTTCTTTGCGTGTATCTCTTAATTATGTTCGTAGTTTTGTTATTCACTGTATATAGGTATATTTCGAAATATCGATATTTCAAGTGACAGCTTAACGACAGTTTTTATACCGATAACGTTATTATCTGATTTCTGGTTATTATTAAATAAAATGCCTAATAAGAAAGGTGTGCTCTACAGATCCGGACATGACTAAGCGTTTCGACACACATCGTCATGTCATAAATAATAAAATGATAGTTTTTACAAGGTATTCCCTAAACAAACAGAGATAAGAAAAAAATATTGATTATTTCTGCATGCAGTCATAAATTTTGTGAAGAAAAGAAAAAAATGCTAATCCATATAGTTTTAATTGTAGCCCTGTTTAATCTGTAAGTTTTTATTAGTTTTATTACTAAAAACCAACTCAATATTAAGAATTCATGAAAGTTTGGAAAAAATTTGGACATAATCTGAAATATACCGAGTTTTAGAAACATTCTAGACGTTTTCTAGACTCGTTACTATACTTTTTTAACGGAACTATTACACCTAATTTTATTTGGTTTTTTATTTTCGAAATTTTTACCATTTTTGAAAGTAGAAAAGTCATAATTAATGACACGATGACAGAATTGTATTGTTGTTTATAATCGATCAATACTATAAATCGATATTTTTGTTTCGATGTACAGTCGGCGCAATCTAAATGTGAACGTTCTTTAATTGTACCTAATGGGTTTTTTTTTACTGAAATTCATTGCTGTAAATTTCCTCCCTCCTTTCTTCCCTCTCTCACTCCCTCCCTTTCTTCCTTTTAAGGCATTTTTTGATACATGTTTATTTTTACCTATATAATATGCTGTTAAAACATTTACCTCTAATTTTGGAACGCTCTGTATACACTGATAATAAAAATATCATCTTTCGTTATTTCTAATATTATTTAAATCAAAACATAATGAATAATAGATGTTTCTTTTTAGGAGCTCTGAAAATCTACTTTGCAATCTTCAAAGTTCAAAAATTACTTGTAACGATATCAAACAAGAAGATCTGTATAGTAATATAACTGTAATCGTCAACCCAGATGACGTCTCGTATTTAAAAATTAGTAACAGTTCAATATCGTCCATCGACAGAAACATGTTTAAACATTTCAAATACTTACATACTCTAAATTTAGAAAATATACAACTTAAAAATATTTTGCAAGCTTCATTTGTAGATCTATCTGCTCTTATGAATCTTCTGTTACATGACAATCTATTAGAAAATTTTAATTCAGATATTTTTGATCCAGATAATGTACTAAAATCATTGGATTTATCTAATAATCTTATTGCGAATTTAGATAACTTTAACATAAGCAGTTTTTCTACACTAAAACTAATGAACATATCGAATAATAAATTGCATTCTTTGCCGAAAGAAATTCTAAATAAATTACAGACTGAAGATGATTTTTATTTAATCATAGACAATAATCCCTGGAACTGCGACGACACCGACTGGATAGAAGATCTGGATACAAATCTAATAGCAGCATTTTGTAAAGATTTTACCGAAGATGACTATGTTCAAAACGATGCTCCTACTGCGGACTTTGTGGATGAACCAATGGTTCAAAATATAGACTCCATAAAAGAAACTAAATCTAATAGGAACGCTTTTTCCTACGAAAATAAATGTTTTTCCTACTGTACACTTTGGTTCATCGGAGGAGTATGGTTGGGAGTTATATTGGGCAATGCTTTTAAAATCAAGAAACTTATATGTAGACCAAACATTAGATGTGTGCAGGAACGAGATACTCAATGCGGTAAGATTTACTTTTACACTATTATAAAATTATGTCTGCATTCTTCTTCTCTTTATCCTTTAAATAAACTTCCAACAGTCCAGCGCTGAATAATCTGCACAGGCTGCTTTCAGAATCAATAGATGGCAAATAAAACGCAATAGCCACTTTCTCATATATCGAAGGAGCTTTCAATAATGCCTCAATTAAGTCAGTAATAAATGCTCTAGAACAGAAAAACGTCCAGGTCACAATATGCCAATGAATCACTAGCAGTCTACAGAATAGAATCATTTTATCCACTCTATGAAAGGCAATCGGACAGACAAAAGTTACGTAGGGCTCTCTACTAGCAAGCATACTATTTCTAATGCTGTTGTCAGATCTAGTAGACATGCTCAAAACATTGTACAAAGAAGGCTACCAACAACTAGTTACAGGTCTATAGGACTACATAATTATTCCATTTGTCATCGAACCCAAATACCTCACGGTATCTAACTTCTTTTAAATCTAATTTAGTCTGATCTAGTCTAATCTCGACTAATCTGGTCTAATCTAGTGACATCTGGTCTAATCTAGACTAATATAAGACTAATCTAGATTAATGTAGACTATTTTAGTCTACTCTAATCATTCGGGCTGATCTAGGATAATTTGGGCTGATCTAGTCTAATCTATTCTAGTCTAATCCAGTATTATGTAGTCTAATCTATTCTAATCTAGTCCAATCTAGTCTAATCTAGTCTAATCTAGTCTAATCTAGTCTAATCTAGTCTAATCTAGTCTAATCTAGTCTAATCTAGTCTAATCTAGTCTAATCTAGTCTAATCTAGTCTAATCTAGTCTAATCTAGTCTAATCTAGTCTAATCTAGTCTAATCTAGTCTAATCTAGTCTAATCTAGTCTAATCTAGTCTAATCTAGTCTAATCTAGTCTAATCTAGTCTAATCTAGTCTAATCTAGTCTAATCTAGTCTAATCTAGTCTAATCTAGTCTAATCTAGTCTAATCTAGTCTAATCTAGTCTAATCTAGTCTAATCTAGTCTAATCTAGTCTAATCTAGTCTAATCTAGTCTAATCTAGTCTAATCTAGTCTAATCTAGTCTAATCTAGTCTAATCTAGTCTAATCTAGTCTAATCTAGTCTAATCTAGTCTAATCTAGTCTAATCTAGTCTAATCTAGTCTAATCTAGTCTAATCTAGTCTAATCTAGTCTAATCTAGTCTAATCTAGTCTAATCTAGTCTAATCTAGTCTAATCTAGTCTAATCTAGTCTAATCTAGTCTAATCTAGTCTAATCTAGTCTAATCTAGTCTAATCTAGTCTAATCTAGTCTAATCTAGTCTAATCTAGTCTAATCTAGTCTAATCTAGTCTAATCTAGTCTAATCTAGTCTAATCTAGTCTAATCTAGTCTAATCTAGTCTAATCTAGTCTAATCTAGTCTAATCTAGTCTAATCTAGTCTAATCTAGTCTAATCTAGTCTAATCTAGTCTAATCTAGTCTAATCTAGTCTAATCTAGTCTAATCTAGTCTAATCTAGTCTAATCTAGTCTAATCTAGTCTAATCTAGTCTAATCTAGTCTAATCTAGTCTAATCTAGTCTAATCTAGTCTAATCTAGTCTAATCTAGTCTAATCTAGTCTAATCTAGTCTAATCTAGTCTAATCTAGTCTAATCTAGTATAATCTAGTCTAATCTAGTCTAATCTAGTCTAATCTAGTCTAATCTAGTCTAATCTAGTCTAATCTAGTCTAATCTAGTCTAATCTAGTCTAATCTAGTCTAATCTAGTCTAATCTAGTCTAATCTAATCTAGTCAAATTTAGTCTAATCTAGTCTAATTTAGTATAATCTAGTTTAATCTAGGCTAATCTAGCATAAAAAAGTATATTATTATTTCCTTAGCTAGTTTACTAATATCACAATATACAAATTTAGTAAAAATATGTACATATAAATCAAAACATAGATAATTTAGATACAATTAAAACTAAAATTCTATAGGATGTTACTGTTTCTGGAGAAATATTCATCAATTAAGAAATCTGTCACTTTGACTTTAAATGTAGTTACAGACGTTACTGATTTAATTTTCTCTGGAAGTGCGTTATATTGATTTAGACTTTTAAAAAATAGTAAATAAATTTTATGTAGCACTATTAACAACTGTTTCAATATAAAAGTTATTTCTGTTTCGAGTTGGATAATTGTGCATATTAGAGTGATAATTAAGCTTCTCTTTTAGGTACATTGGAAGTAACCCGTGTTTAATTTTATAAATAAAAATTAACGCATTCCGTAATAAGAGACTTTTGATTGGCATCCACCTCAAAGTTTCAAGCATTAGATTAATGGAAGTATATTTTGAACAGGATAATTATTCACATAGCCCTATTCTGCAGCTTCTGTAGTCGGTTCAACTCATTTTGATTTAGTAAAAAGAGTATTGTAGAGCAATAATTAAAGTGAGGTAGAATTATAGTATTATATATAATACATTTAGTTCACTGTGATAAGCCAAATAGGAAATTTAACTTAAATGCAATAGTTTTGATAACATGATCTATGAATCTCATCTGCTTGTCAATCATTACCCCTAAGTATTTGAATTTTTCTACTAACTGTATAGAATGATTTTTTCTATTTAGGAAATATTTTTATTTGTTTTTTTGGCGCTACAGAATCTAATACGATTAAAATATTTGTTACAAAATTATCATATTTTGCATTAATGTCATAAATATGAATGTCATAAATAAGTATAATCTAGTCTAACCTTGTCTATTCTAATCCAGTTGAATCTAGTCTAATTTAGTCTAATCTAATCTAGTCCAATTTAGTCTAATCTAGTCTAGTCTAATTTAGCCTAATATAGTCTAATCTAGTCTAGTATAGTCTAATCTGGCCTAATCTAATCTAGAATGCTACAAAAATAGTATTCTTCGAATATCTATATGTATATACGTATACAGGGCGTTCCGTAATGATGTTCGAATATTTTAACAGGATGTTCTACCAACCATTTAAAAAGGGGTTTTCTTATAGAATTTTACCATTAGGGTCCTTTTTTTTAAACGTGTTCTCTTCTATTAAACTTCAAGATAAATTATGTTTATTTCTTGCAAGTTTAATGTACAAAAATTACAGGAGTGAAAAAGTTTCTAAATTACGTGCAGTATACAGGGTGTACCAATAAAAACTCCCAGGCCGGATATTTTGGTAAGTAATAGAGATATTTTAATTCTGTAGAAGTCAGTTCACAGAGCACTAAGAGAGCTTCAGTTTTAGTTATAAATTTATTTTAAATAGGTCAATATGTAGATGGCGCTGCGCTCAATTTTTTTTTTTTTTTTCGATGGGAGGATCTTTCTTGTGTAGCGCATCTTGTAAAAAATGCATTTTTAAGCAGATTTTGTTCTATGAACTAATTTGATATATCTAGCCATTTTTGATATACAGAGTGAGTCACTTAAAACAGTTTCATCCTGTTTTTCAGCATTAATCATTGGATTTTAAGAAAATGGTAAAACAAGTCGATTTTTATTCCAAATTAAAAACATTTTTACAATACAGACATCTGTCATGTGTCAACCCCCTCCCTTGCACTTCTCCACACCTTAATTTAAAATAGGTAATGTACCATGTATGGCACATCATTAAAAAGGTAATTTAATGGGGGATTCAAAAATATTTCTATACATTGCGTTACTTAAATTGTATCGCCCTCTAGCGAGATAAAAAACTACTACGTATTATAGAGTGTGATACTACAATGTGTAGTACATCATTAAAAAGGTAATTTTATGGGGAATTTAGAAATATGACTGTTCATTGCGATACTTTTAATTGTACCGCCCTCTATCTGGATAAAAAAACTACGTATTTTAAAGTGTGACACCTTATTTGAAAGCAAATTTAATTACTAACTCAATGTACCACATAACATTAATATAAATATCCTCCATATTGCACTTGCAATAGTTTGAAAATTAGTCATGCATTATTTTAAACATTATTGCTAAATTTATTTTGTTGCCAGTGCAATATGGAAATGTTTATATTAATATTATGTGGTGCATTGAAACAGTAATTAAATTAGCTTTCAATTGAAGTGTCACACTTTATAATACGTTAGAGATTTTTTTATCCCGATAGAGGGCGCTAAAATTAAAAGTATCGCAATAAACTGTCATATTTCTGACTTTCCCATAAAATTACCTTTTTAATGATGTGCCGTACATGGTACATTCCTTATTTAAAATTAAGGGGTTGGAGAAGTGGAAGGAAGGGAGTTGGCGCATGACAGATGTCTGTACTGTAAAAATGTGTTTAATTTGGAATAAAAATCGACCTGTTTTAGCATTTTCTAAAAATCCAATGATTAATGCCGAAAAATAGGATGAAACTGTTTTGAATGACCCACTCTGTATATCAAAAATGGCTAGATTTATTGAATTAGTTCATAAAACAAAATTTGCTTAAAAATGCATTTTTTATCAAATGCGCTACATGAGAAAGACCCTCCCATCGAAAATTATTCAGCGCAGCGCCATCTACATATTGACCTATTTAAAATTAATTTATTTCTAAAACGGAAGCTCTCTTAGCGCTCTACAAACTGGCTTTTACAGAATTAAAATATCTTTATTACTTACCAAAATATCCGGCCTGAGAGTTTTTATTGGTACACCCTGTATACTTAATAAACATTATTTTTTTTAAATTGGCCTTTAAAGAAAAAAGTTCTGAAAGAAATAAAAAGAAAGGTCTAACCATTTTCAAGAAAAAAATAACTAAATGTTTTTCGCTATTCTGAAACCTAAATTGTTTTGTTTCAGAAATGACAAATCTACGATTAAAAGAGTGATGATACAATGGAAATGGAAGTTCATTATTATCTTGGAGATACGTGGAAGCATCGAAGCAAATTAAATCTGTTAATAAAGAGATGATAAGTTTATTTTATTATATATTTTAATTTTGATCAAACTGATGTAACTATTTAATAAATTTTGTATTTGATTTTTATTTTCATTGTTATAAGTCATTACTTATTTTTAACACGTTGCTTGCTACGGTGGTAGAATATGTCTACAATAAGTTAAGCGTAAGCACTTATTTTCTATTTGGAAAACCCTCTTCAAACGTTCGAACGGTTTAATTTTCATTGAATTACCAAAAACTAAAAAGTTTAGTACATTTTTGTAAATCTAGTACCTTTCCGTTAAAATGTTAGTACATTTTTATTGGTAAAACTGGCAACAGTGGCAACACTTACTATAATACTTTGAAGTTTGAGCCGATAGCTCCGTACCAAATAGCAAAAAATCGAGAAAAACAATTAAAATGTGTTAAATAGAATTCAGAATTTTAATTTTGCTTTAAAAAATTATCTAAAACGTGTAAAACGTATATTATACTGAGAACTGTATTAAGTCTTAGTAATTGTCCATCGATATATGAGAAGAAATTAGTTGTCACTAATTTTACTGTCACTTGTCAATACTTGTCAGTCATCTAAAGAAACGTCAATAAGAGTGCATATATAAAACAATGTCTTAAATTTAATTTTAAAGTCAATTAGACAACAACCAGTCTCTCAAAAAGAATCCCTAATTAAAAGCAAATGCGCGATTGATCACGCCTAATAATGGCCGATCTGATACGTACAAATAGTGGACACAATGCAGCTGTACAAAAAGATAAACTCGGTTCCCCCAGCACAGGAAGTGATGATGGAAATGAACAAGAAACACAAGGAGCGATTAAACCTGAACAAGAAGAACCAGATCTCGGAGACAGCGCTCATTATGCGCCCCCTGAGACTCATTGGTACCATGGAAGATTAGACAGGTAGGTGTTTTATATTAGTGCAATCTGCATAATCCTTAAATTGTCTTATTAATTGCTTGTATACTTTTGAAGATATCAAGCTGAAGAAAGGCTGTGGCAATGCAACAAATTAGGTGCCTATTTGGTTAGAGAAAGTGATAGAAAGCCTGGAAGTTATGTTTTATCCTATTTGGGAAGGACAGGGATGAACCATTTTAGAATAACTGCTGTTTGTGGAGATTTTTATATTGGTGGACGACAATTTGTGTCTTTAAATGATTTGGTAGGATATTATAAAGAATGCAGTGATCTGTTAAAAAGGGAAAGATTGGTACATCCTGTGGCACCACCAGAACCAGTCAATGATAAAAAGGTACTAGTAATTTAATTTATGCCTACCTCCAGATAGTTAAATAAAATTCTTAGGATAAACATCTAGCTCAGAGAAGAAGTGGTATAAATCTCAAAGTAGTCCAATCAAATAGACCTTTAAATCAAAATTTTGGAGGAAATACAGGAATTTTTAATACAAGTCACTTTAGAGTATTTGAAAATGATAGGTAAAAAAATTTTGTTTTTCAGACACCAGTAAATGTCAAAAAACAAGAAAATTAAGTGTTTTTTTAAGGTTATTTAAAAACGGTAGGTGCTATAAAAAAAAGTTTTGAATAAAAATTGTAAAGCATAAAGTTTTACATAAAAGTGATATTTGACATTTTTTTATTTTATTAAAACTGACAGAGTTAGGGTAGTTAGAAATTAAGAGGAGATTTATATGACTTGGGAAAAATTATAGCGAGCTGAAAATTCAATGATTTTGTAGTTTCTTTTTATTATTTACTCAGAAAATTATAAATATCTTTAAAGAAAAATTATTTTTTTTTGTTGTTTTTTTTTAAGTTATGACAATTTTAATTTAGAAATTTTCAATTAATTATAAGAATTTATATGGTAAATTTTGAAGTGAACTTATTATGGCTTGCCTGACATGAAAAGTATGAGTAACGAACTAATAAAAACGACATCGCAACAGTTTGGTCCCCATTTGAAGTTCCATTAAATAAATCAAAACAAAAACAAAAAAGAACTAAATAAAAATATTAAAAAAAATAATGAAAATAAAAATAAATATATAAATAAAATAAAACAAAAATAAATAAAAAGAAAATAAATAAAAATTAAAAAAAAAATAATTAAAAATATAAACAAAAATTTAAATAAAAAAAATAAATAGTTAACAAAATTAAAAATAATAAAAGATAAATAAACATAAATTAAAAGATAAATGTAAATAAAAATTTTTTATTTTTTAATTTGTGTCATCGGCGTCGACTACTACGGCCATTAGCCTCGTGTTCTGTGTACGCTTTGTTACTGTTTCCTGGCGCCACTTTAGGAACAGCACTGTTAATTAGGACCCAACAGTAAATGGTCGATTGGGGAATCCTACCTATGCATTAGAATTAATATTTAATTTTTTTTAATTTTATAAAAATCCCTCACACCGGTGGGATTCGATCCTGAGACCTTCCGATCTCAAAGTCATGACTCTAACCACTGAGCCAACCCACCCCCCAATAAAAATAATTAAAAAATAAATAAAAATAATACCAAATAGTTAAAAAAATTAAATAAAAAGTTTTGAATCAAAATTGTAAAGCATGAAGTTTTACATAAAATTGATATTTGACATTTTTTTATATTAAAACTGACAGAGTTAGGGTGGTTAGAAATTAGAAAGAGATATATATGACTTGGAAAAATCATAGCTAGCTGAAAATTCAATGATTTCGTAGTTTCTTCTTATTATTTACTCAGAAAATTATAAATTTCTTTTAGGAAAAATTTTTTTTGTTTTTTTGAGTTGTAACAATTTTAATTTAGAAATTTTCAATATATTATACGAATTTATATGGTAAAATAAATTTTGAAGTAAACTTATTAACTTGACTGACATGGAAAATATGAGGAGTGAACTTATAAAAACGATATCCCGACAGTTTGGTCCCCACTTAAAAGTTCCATTAAATAAATAAAAATAAAAACAAACAAAAAAGAACTAAATAAAAATATTAAAAAAAATTAAAATTAAAAAAATAAAAATAAATAAGTATAAAAAATTTATAAATAAAAATAGATAAATTAAAAAAAATATAAAAATAAATAAAAATATAAAAATAAATAAATATAAATAAATAAATAAATATTCATTTTTATTTTTTATTATTTATTTATTTTTTATTTTTGTTTAATTTCTATTTTTAATAAATTACCTATTTTTTTAACTATTTGTAAGCATTTTTATTTATTTTCTTTAACACTTGTCTTTTCATTTATTTTTGTTTAATTTTATTTATTTTTTATTGTTTTATTTTTAATAATTTACCTTATTTTTTTAATTTTTTTTGTTTATTTCTATTTATTTTTTTATTTTTATTTATTTATTTTCTTTTATTTTTTATTATTTATTTTTAATTTTTTTAACTATTTATTATTTTTTTATTTAAATTTTTGTTTATTTCTTTAAATTTTTTTATTTCATTATTTATTTTTTATAAATAAATAAAAATGAATATTTTATTTGTATTCATTTTTATTTATCTTTTCATTTATTTTTATTTATTTTTGTTTAATTTCTATTTTTAATGAATTACCTATTTTTATTTAATTTTTTTAACTATTTGTAATTATTTTTATTTATTTTTATTTTTTTTTTAATTATTTATTAATATTTTCTTTTACTTATCTTTTCATTTATTTTTGTTTAATTTTATTTGTTTTTTTATTATGTTTTATTTTTAATAATTTACCTAATTTTATTAATTTTTTTAACTATTATTATTTTTATTTATTTAAATTTTTTGTTTATTAATTATTTTTATTTATTTATTTTCTTTTACTTTTATTTTTGTTTTATTTTATTTATATATTTATTTTTATTTATTTAATGGAACTATCTAAATGGGGGCCAGAAAAAAATAATAAATAAAAATAAATATAAATAAAAATAAATAAATAAAAATAAATAAAAAAATTAATAAAAATAAAAAATATTCATTTTTATTTTATATTATTTATTTATTTTTTGTTTAGTTTTCATTTTTTATTTATTTTTTATTTTTGTTTAATTTCTATTTGTAATTATTTTTATTTATTTTCTTTCTTGTCTTTTCATTTATTTTTGTTTAATTTTATTTATTTTTTATTTATTTAAATTGTTTATTTTTTAATTTTTTTTATTTGTTTTTTTATTTTTATTTATTTATTTTTTTACATTTATCTTTTCATTTATTTTTTATTATTTGGTATTTTTAATTTTTTTTAACTATTTATTGTTTTTTTATTTAAATTTTTGTTTAATTTCTATTTTTATTTATTTTTTTGTTTTTTTATTTTTTTTTAATTATTTTTATTTATTTTCTTTTACTTATCTTTTCATTTATTTTTGTGTAATTTTATTTATTTTTAATAATTTACCTAATTTTATTTAATTTTTTTAACTATTTATTTTTTTTTATTTAAATTTTTTTTTATTTTTTTAATTATTTATTTTTACTTATTTTTTTAATTATTTATTTTTACTTATTTTTATTTATTTTATTTATATATTTATTTTTATTTTCATTATTTTTTTAATATTTTTATTTAGTTCTTTTTTTAATTTTTATTTATTTAATGGAACTTCAAATGGGGACCAAACTGTTGCAATGTCGTTTTTATTAGTTCATTCCTCATATTTTTCATGTCAGTCAGGCTAATAAGTTTACTTCAAAATTTACCATATAAATTCGTATAATTAATTGAAAATTTCTAAATTAAAATTGTCATAACTTAAAAAAACAAAAAAAAATTTTCTTAAAAGATATTTACAATTTTCTGAGTAAATAATATAAAGAAACTACAAAATCATTGAATTTTCAGCTTGCTATAATTTTTCCAAGTCATATAAATCTCTTAATTTCTAACCACCCTAACTATGTCAGTTTTAATAAAAGCAAAAAATGTCAAATATCATTTTTATATAAAACTTTATGCTTTACAATTTTTATTAAACACTTTTTTTATAGCACCTACCGTTTTTAAATAACCTTAAAAAAACACTTTATTTTCTTGTTTTTTGACATTTGCCGGTGCCTGAAAGGCAAAATTTTTTTACATATCGTTTTTAAATACTCTAAAGTGACTTATAACTAAAATTCATGTATTTTCTCCAAAATTTTGATTAAAAGTTCTATTTAATTGGACTAAAAGGTAATATGTCATGAAACATGAATGGTAGATATTACTATTGAAAGCTTGTAGACATTATGAAATACTCTTCACATAACTGTCTTTGTTAGTTTTTAATTATCTGTAATTTTCTTTTTAGAGAGTTGTTGCTATATTACCATATACAAAAATGCCTGATACTGATGAACTTACCTTCAAAAAAGGGGATATATTTTTTGTCCACAATGACATGGGCAACGGTTGGTTGTGGGTAACTGCTCATCGTACAGGAGAACAAGGCATGATATTTAGAGAACTAGTAGAAGATTTAGATGATAGTATTGATCCAAATACAGTATTTCCTTGGTTTCATCCGAACTGCACAAAAAATGAAGCTGTGGACCTACTTGTAAAAGGTAAAAGGGTCATGAGTAATCTAATCAGTTTTAAAATTTGTTGATTTTTCAGCTGGCCCTGGTAGTTTCTTAGTAAGACCCAGTGATAATTCGCCAGGGGACTATTCATTATTCTTCCATATCAATAATCAAATTCAACGTTTTAGAATTGAAAAGAAAGGTGTTAGGTATCTCATGGGAGGTAGAATATTCGAATGTTTAGATGCAGTCATTAATAGATATAGGAAGGAGCAGATTGTTGAAGGATATACCCTTCAACAACCGGTAAGCATAACTACTTTAATCAACAAAACAAGTGTTTTAATAAATAACTATATTGATATGGAAACACCCAGTATATGGATTTCCAAAAATATTCTAAAACTACCAAATCTCAAAACTGGGCGGGTTCAAAATCTAGAAAAATTAATTTTGTGTAAAAAAAATAAAAATAATTAAAAATCAGTTAAATTAAAAAAAAATCTTTTGTTTCTCTGCCCTGGCTGTTCTGCTCCTGCTGTTGGTTCTCTTCTCTGCCCTGGCTGCTCTACTCCTACTGTTGGTTCTTTTCTCTGCCCTTGCTGCTCTGCTTTATTTATACCCTATAATTTTCTCTACTCTCTCTGTTTAATTCTGTCTTGAATACTTAATTTTGTTTAAATAAAATTTCTATTACCTACCTTTCTTTATATTTTTTTTATTTTTAACTTCTCAATAACAACTATCTTCACAATTTCTATCAATTTCTAATTTTTACAACATTTATACCTCTGTTCAAAGAAAATCTGTCCTGACATTTTTTAAATTTCCCTCTGACATCTTAAAAAAATTTCTAAAACAGCAACATCCTTGATAATTTCACAATAAAATTTTTCTAGACTCTAAATCGTCCAGCTTTGCTAACTTCAATTTTGACATAATAATTTAAATTTCGTTATCTGGGAATTTCCCTTATCAAATCCTCCAAATTTAGTGTTTACATATTATTGCTTTCAAGTATAATATTAAACACAAAATTTCTAAATAATTATCTTTAAATTTTTCAAATAACTAATAAACACTCAATATCAAAATATATCAATTTTAAATTTTCAAACCTTTTATCAATTTAAATTGTTGATTTCTTTATTTTTCAAACCTTCGAATTTATACTATTACTATTGTAACTATACATACAACTAACACAATACAACACTCAAACATACCAACATAGAAAACATTTAACACACAATTCTATATAAATCTTGTATATGAAAAATTCCTCGTATCCCTTCATTATTCATATATTTTAATATATATAACTATTTTCCCCTTTCTCATTGTCCATTAATGGCCCTTCAAACGGAAACATCAGTCTCACACATATCCTTTTTTATTATTAAATATTCTTAGTCTAACAATTACTAAATCCATTGCTCTATCTTTATTTTATTAATTTTATCTATTCAATTTCCAAGTTCACAGATCATTTTAAATTTCCCTTTCATTCCCCAACTAAATTTTACTACTTTTCTTTCTTCTCCGTCCCCACTCTTTCTTTTTCTGTTAATCTTCTATTCTTCATTATCTTCTCCAATTATTTCCTACATTTTATTTTCGTTTTCATTTTGTTTTATATCTTCAACATTTTTTGTAAAATTAACTTTAGTTTTTGACTTTTATATTTCTTTTTCCTTCCTTTGTTTTGTTTTCTATTTTTCTCTATCTTATTCCTTGCTTTCTTTCGGAATTCTTTCCATTTATGTTTATTTTATTTTTCTTATCTTGTCTTTTATTTTTCCCTTTATTTTGTTTCCTAATTTGCTTTATTTTCTTTCTCAACCTTTTTTTTTATTTTTCAATTTTAATTTTACTTTTAACACTATCAATAACTTATTTTTCTTTTTAATTTCATTTCTTGGTTCCTCTTCTCTTGAGAGGATTTATTTTCTAGATTTGATATCCTTTTTCCCTGATCCTCTGCCTCTGATACTATCTTTTCCATATCTACAGATATTTTAAATTTCCTATTTTGTTTATTTTCTATTTCATCAATTCTTCCTATCATTTTTATTCTTAAATTTTTCTTCATTTCTTCAAATTTAACATCTGTTTTCACTTTTAATTCTTCAAATGTCTTCATTAGTTCTTCTTTATCTTGTTTCCTGTTTTCTTCCATATTATCCAATTTATTATATATTTCCATAGACCTTGTTTCATTGTTTTTTTTTGTTTCCATTATTGTCGCAAATATGTATCTTAAAACTCCCTCATCTTCCTTCTTACCTCCATCTTCCTTTTGTTGCTGCCCTGATTCTTCGTTTTTTTTTCCATGCCTGTATAATCTAAATCTCCTTGTCCTACTTGTAAATTTTCTTCCTCATCTCCTGCATTGTCTTCCATTGTTCCAAGCTTACTGCCTCCTCGCAAATCCATGTACTTTGTACACTTTCAAAAAATTTTACACTTTTATATAACACTTTTAACCAAACTTTTACTTGTCTATATAAATCTTGTGTACTTTTGTGTTCTCCCTAATATAATTTTACCCCAATTTTAAAATTGTCTATCTTAAATGATTGAATTTATTTAAATAACATTCCAATTTCCAAATAATATAGACTCATACCATTCACACTGTTCTTACCCCAAATAAAAGAATCAACAATTTAAATATAAATAAAAAGTCTAACCAAATCAATTTTGTACAAATTTTGTTCCCTTGGCTTTCCAAATTCTGTCTGCCTTCTTTTCTTTTTTATGTCCCTCAAAGTTTATATAACCCCACGTTGGGCGCCACTTGATATGGAAAAACCCAGTATATCGATTTCCAAAAATAGAAAAATTAATTTTGTATATAAAAAAAATAAAATAATTAAAAATCATTTAAATTAAAAAAAATCTTCTGTTTCTCTGCCCTGGCTGTTTTGCTCCTGCTCCTGCTGTTGGTTCTTTTCTCTGCCCTGGCTGCTTTGCTTTATTTATACTGTATAATTTTCTCTACTCTCTCTGTTTAATTCTGTCTTGAATATTTAATTTTGTTTAAATAAAATTTCTATTACCTTTCTTTATATTTTTTTGTTTATTTTTAACTTCTCAATAACAACTATCTTCACAATTTCTATCAATTTCTAATTTTTACAACATTTATACCTCTTTTCAAAGAAAATCTGTCCTGACATTTTTTAAATTCCCCTCTGACATCTTAAAAATTTTTTTAATGAATCTATCATCTTAAAAATCAAAGAACAACATCCTTGATAATTTCACAATAAAATTTTTCTAGACTCTAAATCGTCCAGCTTTGCTAACTTCAATTTTGACATAATAATTTAAATTTCGTTATTTGGGAATTTCCCTTATCAATATATTTTTTAAGCTTGTAGTAGATGGTTCAAAACAATTAGACTGGGTGCCAGAAAATCAAAAAGCAAAATCTGAAGCAGAAAAAATCTATGCGACATTAAGAGAATGTAGGGATCAAGCAGGTATAAAGAAAATGAGAGGTATAAAACACCAGGGCTATCTACATAGAAAGTCTGACAAAGCTGCCAAAAAATGGAAATTGTTATATTTCGTTTTATTAGTAGATGGTACTGATACTCATCTTTATTTATATGAGAACCCAAAAAGAACCAAACCTAAAGGTCTAATTGATTTGTCTTGTGCTTATCTCTATCAAGTAAGTTAAAAGAATTTTTGAATTAAATCAAATTTTTAATAAAATGAACTTTTAGGTACACGATAGTCTCTGGGAACGCTCACACTGTCTTCAACTGGTCGAACGTGCTCTACCCTGTCTAGCCACAGTTACTCATTTAGCTGCAAGGTCAACAGAAGACTGTCAAGAATGGGTGAATGCACTGAAACCTTTGTGTGTACCTCAGCTTAGTAAAGCCACATCTAAAGTGCCAAGATTAAGAGAACTACGTTGTCTAACTTTACATATAATTGATGCGCATCGCTTACCTTACAAATTAGTGCCACAACCATATGTTACCATACAGCTCAATAATCAAGTTAGGGTAGCGAGGACTAGAACTAAATCGGGACCTGACCCTGTATGGGATGAGGAGTTTGTTTTTGAGTAAGCATTCATTTTGTTTGTAATTTGATAAAATTATTTATTTAGACAGTTTATTTAATTTATATTTATTATTGCATAGCTTAATTTATTTATATTTCAAACACTTATATACTAATTTATTTTGACAATGTATTGATATGGAGTCCATTTTTAATATCAGATAACAAAAATTTTCTCTTTTAGCATTGGTTTATTTTAATTTATGAAGATCTAAAATTTAAATGACAAGTTATAATTTGATAATGACAATCAAATTAAGTTAAAATCGTCCTTTTTGAGAGTCCCTGATGTACGCCCAATATGATTCTGACTGTTTTGCTTAGATAAACATAATTCCAAATCTAAATAGTTCTACCCCAAATTAATTACTGAATTTTCAGGATATGTCGAGATTTTGCAGCATATAATTCTTGAAATTATTTTTATTTTGTAACATAAAAGATGTTAATTACCTTTAACTTCCAATAAATCTGGAACTTTCTTGATAGTGTGTAAATAATATTCAAAATCTCTAGTAATTGTTTATTTCAAAATTATAATTCATCAAAAATTGGAAACTGTGTTTTTTAAGCATTAATACAATTTCTGACCTTTAAACAATCTCCAAATTGATTGACAAATTTTTCAAGAAAAGGCAAAACCTACAAAAAATACACAATTTCCTTACACAAATCGACCTCTCCATTTTCTTTTATTAAACAAATTAGAAACATCTAAATACAGAGTGATATTTTGGCATCATGACATGCACATAGTCCAAACCATATTAATTCCAACAAATTTGATATATGGCTGTGTTTGAATGGTTTTCAATAATTGAACATCCTCTATAACAAATTTCCTCCAAAACTGATGTCACCAAATCTTCCCATGAATATGCCAACAAACACTTATTACACTATTAATAGTAATAATAATATTTATTATTGTCAGAAACAATATAATACAGAAAAAAATACATATAAAATTGTATGGTATAAGTCAGAAGCCAGGATAATCTGTACTAGTTTGATGACCTACAAAGTGCACACTGGGGAGACTTAAAAATGAATATAGTGGTGCATTTGCTAAGAAATATGGGGAAACCCAGCAAAACCCATATTACTATTGAAAACTAGTATATATTCCTGATGATTTCACAAAGTATTTACAAATAATAATTACTTAACAATCACTTTGTTTACATCTTCTAAGCTATAAGACTCAATAGAAAACCAAAATTTGTTTGAGCTTATTTTTGAAATTTGATAGACTCTAAGTATTTTTTAAAAGATCAGGAAGCATATTATAAAATTGCAAACATTTGTAACAGCATCCCTTTTCCAGTAGGGTAGTTCTGTGTGTCAGCAGACAAAAATTATTTCTAAAGCTTGTGTTGTGCTATATATTCATTGAATATACTTTTATTTTTATGCACTCATATACGTAACTAGTATATACTGTCAAATTTAGAGTTTTAAAGAGACCTCTACATGATTCTGTAAGCTTAACCAATATTTGAATTTCTCTTTTTTGTATTACAAAGACTTCTTGACAGTGTGAAGCTCCCCAAAAAATAATTCCATAGCACATTGAGGAATAGACTAGACCATAATACACTGATATAAGATAAGAATGATCTACGACTTTTTTTACTTGTTTCAATGCAAAGAAAGCTCTGCTGAGCCTTCTACAAAGTGAATGTAGATGTTCTACCCAAGTTAGATGCTTATCAGTTATTACGTCAAGAAATTTTGTCGATTTAAGGTAGTTCAATCGTAAAACGGCCTTAAGAATTCAATAAAATTGAAATAAGAGGATAATGAAAGTGTCTTTTATGTACCTAAAAAAAATAAAAAAAATTGACCGTCTGTAAAACGAGATATTAACAATCAAAATGTGCATAATTAACGCTCTTGAAGCCCTGTCATGTACACAATCATTGCATTTATTTCAAGATATCTCGAAAACGGTTCTTACCATATTTTTTAAAAACTAATGTAATGTAAATCAAGAAGTTAAAATTTTTTCTAAAAAAACGCTAAATTTTTTTACCGTTTTGATAAAGAAATATAGCTTTTTAAAATAAAAATGTTCTTAAAGCAGTCGACGCATAGTGGCGTATTGTGATTACAACTTGGCAACGTTGTAATCGATACACTCAACGCCCGCTAATTCAAATGTCTGTTAGATCAGTGCTTCCCAACCTTTTTATAGCCGCGGACAGGTCAAGTTTATCACTTTATCGAGGCCTTCTGGGAAGGGACGTTGTTTATACTTTAGGTTGATATGATTTAACAATTTCAATTTAATTGTATTTAAACATGTTTTCAAAATTAAATAAATATGCAAAAGCTGAATATAATTTTATTTAAACATGCCTTCAAAATAAAATAGTTACACAAAAAAAATGAATATAAAGTAATTTAAAATTTTAACTTACTAGTATGAGGAAGTCATAAAAAAATACAAATAAAAGTAATGATTTTCTGTAGTATTGATATATCGTAGGAACGAACGTTCATGACAGCAAGAAATTTATTTAAAGCAGTTTGACCAAACCCTGAATGGACAGCACCTTTAAATAAATAAAATTATATTAATTATAATAAAAAAATTATAAACATAACAAATAGTTATGTATTTTTTTTTAAATTTACCTAGAACTGCTTTAGTATTGACATCTGAATGCTTAACTTCACTTTTTGTTGCATGAACTTTGTCCGTAGGTACTATAGTTTCAATATTACATTCATTACATTTAACATTTAAAATTGAATAAAGGCCCTTTCGTGTTTCATTTGTAATATTTTCAAGAGAAAGAGCTCTTTCACACCAGCAACATTTTAAATGTTTTCCCAACTCTAGTAATTCCACGATGCGACCACTGCACAGGTTATTTTTCAAGATTGGGGTTTCCTTTCTCAATTTTTTTGCATAATTCATAGCCAAAATTGATTTTTTGCGTTTGTTGAGGACGTTCTGCTTAACAAATTTTCCTTTATCTCGTAATTAATTGATCCTGACAATGAAACATTTTGATATTTACATTTATTTCACTTTAGGAATACAGTTGACGTTTCACAATATATTTACGACGTTGCCGGATGGATTTTACGCGATATAATACCATATTTGTATATAGGATCACATGTGTTGTGTGTACAGTCTGTTACAAAAATAACCTTTCTTTAGATTTAAGAATCTCGAACGGTTGGTATTCACTATAGGGCGATATTTTTGTGTACGACTGTCGCGAGTGAACTACCTTAAAATATTACATAAGTTAATATCCTCTGGATATTACAACTGTGCTTAAAAAGTATATAATTAGTTTTAGATAAATTTAATAATAGGGAGTTTTCACCAAACCATTTTGAAATTCTCTCTACAGTATTTGAGGTATCTTTTTCAAGTACTTTGTAATGGTTTCTATATAGTAAGAAATTTGTGTCATCGGCATAATTAGTTATAGAATCATTTGTAAAAATTGTTTGTTAATTATTTAGATATAATACAAATAAAATAGGACCTAAGGCACTTCCTTGTGTAACACCCAGCATTTTTTGATTCAGAGTAATATTCGCTATTGTCACCCCCATTTTGTATAATTTATTAAGAAGTATATGGTGATTCACACAATCAAAAGCATTTGTTAAATCTAAGAAAACTCCGTGAACAATATTTCCCGAAACTAAAATGTGTAAAATTCTCTCAACAAAATTGAAGACTACTGGTGTAGTTGACTTACCACTTTGAAACCCATACTGCGTACTTGTGATAACATTATTTATTTCTAAAAATGGCAATAATTTGGTACACATAGCAATTTCAAAAACTTTGAAAAACAAGACAAAAGACTAATTGGTCTATAATTTTCTACTAGAGAAGGATCTCCTTTTTTGTGAATAGGTATTAGAACAGCATTGGAAAAATACCAGATTTAAAGAACTCATTGAGGATATAGCATAGTGGATGTATTATATGGATGCCGATGTATTTTAACATCACATTACTGATGTTATCATCACCTGCTGAGTGTTTATTTTTCAAGTGATTGATTATATTCTTTAGTTCTTCTGGCGTTACATCTGATATGTATAATGATTTTGGATAGCCATCAACATAATTTAAATTAGCATTACTGGACCCACCTCTTAATAAATTTGTAACTGCTGAGACAAAGAAATCATTAAAATAATTAGCAACTGTAGTTGGTGAAGAGACTATCTGGCCCTCAATACTGATACCTTCAGAAAAATTATTTTTTGTTTTAGCTTTGCCCAATTTAAAGTTTACGATATTCCAAGCAGTTTTCGTTTTATTGTCTGATGTTAAAATTTTCTTATTGTAAAAACTTTTTTTCTCATTCTGTATTAGATTTGTATAATATGTTTTAAATTCGTTCAGTTGATATTTAGAGATTTGATTTAATAAGTACATTTGCGATTAAAGATTAAGAGTATTTTTAGTTTCATTAATTTTTTGAGACCTCCACTTGGGTTTTATAGTTTTATACATATTTTTTTTTTTTTTAATGGGAAGGCCTCATTATAGTGTCCACAGAGATTATTAATGAAGATATTATACATATTATTTAAAAAACGAGATTCATAAACTGAAAGCCACGTTTCACATGCTAATAGTGAGTTAAACTTAGCATAGTTTCTTTTGCTAAAAATACATTTATATTCATGCTCTGTTTTGGGTCTACAATTATTTCCAACTATTGACATATATTGAGCTTTATGATTAGATATATTTGTATTTACAACCCTAGCATTATACATTAAAAACTGTGGTACATAAATATTATCAAGGCAAGTACTGGATGTAGACGTCTCTCGTGGGTTCAGTAATACTAATTTACATATTATATGCATCTAACAAATTATTTACCATTATCCTATTTTTTAAAATTTTAGCAATAACTAACATATCAATATTAAAATCTCCTGCAACCAAGACTATCCTATTATCCTGACAAGCTCTGTCTAATAGTTGAAATATTTTTTCAATAAAGTAGAGAAGCTCGTTTGTTGGAGGTTTGTAAACAGTACATATTACATAATACAGACTATTTATTTTAATTTCTGCAGTACAACACTCAAACAAATTTTCCTCACTTAGTTCTTTTATGTCACATCTCACATCTTTTTGTAAGCCTTAGATTATCATGAGCATATAGCACTACACCGCCATAACCAGTGGATGTATTTCGATTTGCCTTGTGACAGTAGGAGGTAATATGATTGTAATTTTTTAGATGAAAAGCAGTCAAGCTATTCGCCATCTGCTAGTGTTCAGTAATGGCAACAAAATCCACTTGCAATTTTTACTTACAACCATATTTATTTGATTCCAATAATTTTCAATAGACTCGGCATTTTGATGAAACAGATTGAGAGTTTTGTTATTTAGAGATTCTACATAGGTTTTTGACTGCTAAATATGTTTAGTTTTCCTTATCTCCAGTTCCAGAAAACGCTTATAACATATCTCATATCCATACATAACTTTATTATTGTCCACCACATAAGGACCTTCAGAAGGTAATTGCATTTTTCCACATATATTCATCTTTTTATCCAATACTCTTAACAGTCTCACAATTACCAGGTTTTTAAATCTAGTTCTTTTTTTCTAGGTACATTTTTCAGCATTTTTTTAAATCTTTCTCCAACTCGATCCAAACACTTTTTATATTTTCTGCTCATCATCTGTCAATCTCTGTTCTGGATTCACCCCTGTCATTATACAGGGTATAACTAAATAAGTGTAAAACATTTAAGGGGGTGATTCCTCATCGAAAAAAAGATAGGATCTTTCATATAAAGAAACTTCATTGGATCATCCCTTGTTAAGATACAGCCCCTTAAAGGGGGGTACATAAAATTTGTTTAACAATTTTTTTCACAAGCACTAAACAAGTTACAATATTAAAATTAACCTGTCATTTTCTACTACCAAAAAGACACTTAGCCAGTAATTTATTTGGTTTACCCCATGGTTGTAAGGGGTGGAAAACGCAACCCCTAAAATATCGTTCCAACGTAACTTTTTGTCTTATTATTCGTTTACCACGAACAACTACAGAGATACATCGTCATAAATGTAAAATAATTTTTTGTTGCGAACTGGTTTATTTTGGGCAAAAAATTCAAGAGACATTTTTTGTTTAGAATGAAACAGGCTATCGTATATAAAATTTTAAATGGTAAACAAATAATAAGACAAAAAGTTACGTTGGAACGAAATTTTAGGGGTTGCGTTTTCCAATAAATTTGCGAATAAATTACTGGCTAAGTGTCTTTTTGGTAGTAGAAAATGTCAGGTTAATTTCAATATTGTAACTTGTTTAGTGCTTGTGAAAAAAATTGTTAAACAAATTTTATGTACCCCTTTTAAGGGGCTGTATCTTAACAAGGGATGCTCCAATGAAGTTTCTTTACATGAAAGATCCTATCTTTTTTTCGATGAGGAATTATCCCCTTAAATGTTTTACACTTATTTAGTTACACCCTGTATACACAGGGTTCTTAATTATTTTTAAATATAATGACATTTGTTGGCAAAGCATTGAATTTCAAATAAAATGTACTAATCTTGTTGCTAAATAAATCTTCAGGTGAAAAGTGATCTGAGTATACTTTGGCATCTTTCACTGTTTTAAGATCTTTCTCATACCTCATTAGTAAGGTGAGGCAAATATGAAGAAAAAAGTAGGAAATATGATCATGTATATGAAAGGAATTTAGTTGAAAAATGCAAAAAAAAATGAAATACGAAATTATTTAAAAAATTTAATGTTTTAATTTTCACGATCAATTGTTTTTTAATGGGATAGTTTCAAATAAAACAAAACATTTTTTAAATGATTAATTTAATTATTAAAACAATAAACAATTAAGTATTTTTCAAAATTCTCTAACAAAAAGTTTCGCCTCCTATCAGTATACATATATTTAAATGCAGAAAAGCTTCTTTCTACGTCAACAGATGTAATAGGGGCGTTTTTTATATATGACAAAATTTCTGGCTCCAGTATAAATGTTTCATCGAAATCTCCAATTAAAGCATTGGCTGCTTGTAAAAAGAATTTGTAGTTATGGTTCTTATCAATTACAATTACTGCTTTGAATTTTGTATATATTTCGTTTCCAATATGTCCCTGAATTAAATTTACCGCCTCTATCAAAGATAATTTGGATGACTTTAATTGGGTAATAGTGTTTGAAATGAAATGATAATTGGTTTTTATAAATGAAACTTGTTGACAAAATGTGATTGGTCAGCAAGTTTTTTGTTTGTAAGAGAACCTGAGATGAATTATCTTCCAATTCTTGTATATAAGTTCTGTGTAAAGTTCTCGCCATAAAAAAGAGCAGCATATAGCCACGTTCCCAAACGGGTTGAGGCGGAAGAGAAAGATTAGGTAAATGCTCTCTGTAAAATTGAATTCTTATTTTTCAGTGACGTGCCATGTGATATTGTTTCATTTACTTTGACTGTATATAATAAAGGAAAACGAGGAAAAGAACAGGAAGTAGCTGAACTCCATGTCGAATTATCGTCTTTAGGTAATGGCGAAGAAAGAGAAGAATGGTATACACTATCTGGATTAACGCCAATGGGAGAATGGGGATCTTTAAGACTTAAAACAAGGTAAAAATCGCAAAAACTACTTTTCCACTGATTATAAAAATTTTAGTTACAATTTAAAATATGTATGAAACTTTTTTTTTAGATACTTACATGATCTTGTAATGCCTGCTGAAGAGTACAGCCCGCTGCAACAATTGCTATTGGAACCGGGATTAACTTCAGTTAAAACTTTAGCGGAAATATCGCACTCTGATAGAGCACCGTTGGCTACAGCACTTTTGAGAGTATTTAGAGCAGAGGGAAGGGAAACGGAACTGCTTAGGGAACTAAATACCGCAGAGGTAATATCCGCGTTTAAAAATATATATTATAAAGGTTCTGAATGTATTAATTATTGGTTATAAGGGTATCGATGTCTTATTTTTCATTTTTGTTTATTCATCTATGTTCAAATTTAATTTTTATTCTAATAATGATTGTTATATATTTATATAAAGAAAGATAATACAAAGACAAGTGGTCACTCACGTGCAAATCTGGTTGGTAAATTATATTAAATTCTTTAAGTAAAAAAATTGTAAATGTAATAGCGTTTTTGATTCCACTGCCCTGCCTGCGGGGAGTACACATAAAAGATTTGCGGTATATCGATACCGGTTACTTTTTAGAGTGAAAAGTAATTGGTATGGACCTTAGATAAAAGAGACCGAAGATGTAACATTGCACACTGCGCATGTTGTCTGTTTTAACTCCAAGTAACCCACCAATTGAAAATCATTGTTTGCACGACGCCACCCGAATTGCTCCGATTTCCCATTCAACGCTCACCTCCGCCTGAGTTTCAATCACCATTGACAGCTGTTTTTGATTTATTTGTTGGTGTTTTAGCAATTTAAAGTGTTCTAGTTATTTAATTTTAAACTCAAAATGCCACGATGTATCTTAAGAAATTGTATATACATATAATACAAGTACCAGTGTTATGAAATATAAAAAATATATTCGTTTTCAGCGGTAAATATTTATTAACGTTTTGACATAAAGCGCCATAATCCTTTGAGCTGAATACATCAGATCCGCATTAAGGGATTTCAATAAATATTCATCAAATACATTTCAGAAAACAGATTTCGTATTACTTACATAAATTTACAAAAGGGTAAAATTTTAAATATTTAATTTAAATAAGAAGTAAATAGACATTGTTGCTAACGAAATTTTGTTTTTAAAAAGTAGTTTTATAAGAATATTTACTAAAGGTGGTTTTTAGCTCTTTTTGGTAGATAAATAAGAAGTAAAGAAGCATAGTTGATTAGTAGTATTTTTATAAGAATATTAGATAAAATACAGGATGAATAACTTAAAATTTCAAGATAATGTAATAATCGATTTTAAAGGAAATACAAAAAGAAAGTAGATTTATTCAAAATAATCGGTTAATTGAAAATAATCGATTTTTTGGAAAAATCGATTTATCGTTTAATCGGTAATTAATCTATTATTTTCGATTAATCTATTATATTATTTTCGATTAATCGATTATTTTCCATTAATCGATTATTTTCAAATTTTCAAAGGTATTATATGAAAATAATTGATTGATCGAATATAATTCGTTATTTTATATAACCAATATTTCGGTTATTTTTTAGAAATATCGATTTATCGGTTAATCAGTTTTTTAATATTTATTAATTATTTTTGATTTATTGATTTTTATCGATTATTTTAGATTTTTCAAAGATAATCAATTTTAAAGGAAATAATCGATAATTCGGTTATTTTTTTTTTTTGAAAATAGATTTATCGTAGAATCGGCTTCTTAATTAATCGATTATTTTCGGTATTTCAATGATAATCGAATTATCGATTTTAAATGAAATACAATAAAAATAAATTATTGATAATAATCGACAATTCGGTTTTTTTTTGAAAATCGATTTATCAGTTAATCGACTTTTTAATTAATCGAATATTTTCGATTTTTCAAAGATTATCAAATAATCTGTTTCAATGGACGAAAAAAAAATGGATTATTTGAAAATAAACGATTATTTAAAATAAACGATAATTTAGCACTGATTTATCGGTTAATTGGCTTTTTAATTAATCGATTATTTTTGATTTTTCAAAGATAATCAAGTAGTCTATTTTAAAGGAAATACGAAAAACAAATAGATTGAAAACAATGGATTGATAAAAAATAATCGATTATTTTCAATGATCGATTATTTATTTCGACAATCACTCATCCTCTATATTAATTAATATTCCTAAAGAAAGAAGCTGAGGATACAATACAAAACAGCATTTTTTCATTTTGACTAATTTTTAATATTATGTAATAGCCGTAGAAAAAATATAATGTTTGACTCAAAAGGTTTGATTTGCAGTATTCGCCTGCGCACATGCTTTTTTATAATACTCGTAGACAATGAGTACCATTTCTTGCTCTATTAACAATATTCTATTTCAACATTTTACTGTAGTATCTTGCTGAAAAGTCCGTAGTAAATAAACGCTAACGAAATATTCTATAAAAGGTCTTCTTTTTACATAAAATGATGTGCATCTGTTTGATATTAAAAAATCACGTTAATTTTATTTCATAATACAAAATTCCATTAAACATATATTTTAAATAAATCTAATAGTTCATTATGATGCTAATAAACAAAGTCCGGTCCTTGTCACAGATTTCGGGTTTCTGCCCAGTTCCCCCACTCCGTTAACCTTTCTTTAGAAATTGGCAACATTTGCCCAGGTTAAACACGGGTGTATGTTATATCTCTGGTCTCTTTTATCTAAGGTATGGACATAATCTCCCACCTTTCGTATAATCTCGGTGCAAGCCAAGCACTGGAATCTAAAACACTATAAATGTAAACTATTATTACGTTGACTGCGTGTGCGTTACTGAATGATTAAAAAAAATCACATTTTTAGATATTAAGAGAAACGGAAACATCGACATTATTTAGGGCCGCTTCTTTGGCTACAACTTTGATGGATCTGTATATGAAAGCTGAATGCGGAGGATTTTTACATGCGGCTGTTTTAGAAACGGTGCTAAGATTGCTGGAGAGCAAGCAAAGTGCCGAATTGAATCCAACGAAAATGGATTCCCTAGACGATGCGTGTAATAACGCTGAATTTTTACTCCAGATATTAGATCAAGTAAGTTCTTTTATTAAATATGAATGGAAAAATTATAAATTATCCCTACATCAGATCAAAAAAGAAACATTGTGGAATAATGGATTTTTGAACCTTTCTGTTTTTTGTGATTTTTTTGATAAAATTAATGGAGTTATTCGTGAAAAGTTACTGTAAATCATGTATTTTTTAATGAAAAATCAACATTTTCAATCGTGAAAAACTCGAAGAATGTTGATTTATCTGAAAAAACTTCATAAAACATTTCTGTTTTAGAATACTTCAATGTATTGATATCTGCAGATGTTTTTTTAGTTTATTAATTTCCTCCTCATGTTGAAAACGAATATTGGCATTGTACAACTTTTGTTCTTTGAGTTATTCCTTACTTTCCAAATTTCACGTCAATAGGTTTAGTCAGAAAGCTTTCTGAGTGAAAAACTGTCAAATGCTGTACTGAACTATTTTAAAATGCACATTTTGCAGTTCCAAATTCTCGATTTTATGTGTGCAACACATTATTTTCGTGTTCAATTTTTACAGGATGTTTCTAGTTAGTTTGTACAACCTAATGCATCACCCTTGAAAATGTTTAAAAGATGAACTAAGTAGCTACATACAATTTCCATTATGGTCCATTTTATAGAAATCATGTATAGAATAAAAATTATAAGAGATGGGACTTTTCATGAAAAGTAATGAAAAGTAGTCGACCTTGGGCATAGAAGACACAGTTAAATCTCCATCTTGGATCCTTTTTCAAAAACACTTTGGGAACAATATTTGCATATGCCTTTTTGTTTTTTTAGGCAAATCATTTGTAAAATACTTCCAACTTTTGGAGTGTTTGGTCATTTTTACGTGTTTATTTTAATAAGATATGAAAACAAAATTCGAAAAGATATAAAAGTCAGTAGCCATTTGTAATTGCTTCATTTTTAAACCATATTTAGCTTTTGTTTGTAAGAAATTCAGATAAATTAGTTAATTTAATTCTGTGCATGCGCAATTTACTTTTCCACTTTTGAAAAGTGTGTTTGGACTAGTCAACTTTTCAGACTAGTCCATTGGACTTGTCCGTGGACTTTTCCAAGCGACCCATCACTCTTCGATACTGATTTGAAGCAGAAACGACCACATTTGACAAAAAATAAGACGATGCATGGATGCACCTATGTGTACATGGCAAAAATTCATAAATTGGACTACAAACAGCTACCCCATCCAGCATGTTCTCCAGATTTAGCCCCCTGCGACTATTTTCTATTTCCAAACCTGAAGAAATAATAATAATAATAATAATAGTTTATTTTGCATTTACGGTGTACAATAGAATTACAACAATAAAAAAATAATAATTACGCAAATGGCTGGCTGGTAAGAGATTTGGGTCGAATGAAGAGGTCATCACTGAAACAAACGTCTATTTTGAGGGCCTTGAGAAGACCTATTTGAAAAGAATAAATAAAAATGGAAAAAAAAACATTAGACTAAATGTATCGAGCAAAAAAGAGATTATGTTAAAAAAAAATCTGATGTGTCCAACACATGACTTTCCTATCTAGTTATATAAATGTTTAGAGGATAAACTAAATATATACATTGTCCACATACATCTACCTCGAAACATTTTTCTATAGATATTCATGGAAAACGAAAATACTGAAAAATTTTAATTTCCTACAATTTTTTCATTACGGTCCATTTTAGAAAAATCATGTATAAACAAAAATTATAGAGATCGATATCGCAAACAACTTTTATTTCAAAAACTTTCATAATAAAAATCAGAATTTTGCACATTTTGTCAAATTTCTCGAATACGGACCATTTCAGGAAATTTTTACATAAAACAAAAATTACAGATAATAATATTAGAAGTAACTTTTATTTGAACAATTTTCCTCTCTAAACATAAATAACAGATATATTTCATAAAATATAAAAACGGCCTCCCATAAAGTACCCCCCCAGATGTTCCGACTTTGTCCAAAATCTAATCATTTCACGTCAGGCCGAAATAAACCTTAAGTTTAAAATTTAATGTTTTTTTCTTTATCCGTTTTTGAGTTTTCTTCAAAATTCGAAATTTACACATTTTCTCAAATATCTCGAATACGGTCCATTTTAGAGAAATTATGTAGAGAATAAAAATTATAGAGAATTATATTACAAACAACTTTTATTTGAACAATTTTAATAAAAAAATATTTTTTTTACATTTTGTCAAATTTCTCGAATACGGACCATTTTAGGAAAATTTTGTATAGAACAAAAATTATAGATAATATTGATTTCTTTTAAATTTTAACCGTTAACCACCCCTTCTTTAATCATAGACTTCGTGCTCTTATAGAGCTGTTGATATCGTATTTCATTATGATTTTTTTTTTAATTTTAAAGTCCTTAAACCCTCTATTTTTAATCAGATTTTTTAAATTAATAGGCTTCGTACTCTCATAGAGCTTGATTTTTGCTAAAAATTTCAAGTTGATATAATTTTTCCTTTTTGAGAAGATTTTTTAATATAACACCCCCATTTTAATTTCGATTTTTTTTAGAATGAATATACTTATAAGGCTTGGTGTTTACTAAAAATTTCGCGTTGATATCACTTTTCGTTTTTTGATTTTTTTTTTAATTTCAACCCCCCTAACCCCCTATTTTTAATCGCTCCGTCCCCTTATAGAAGTTGATTTTTGCTAAAAAAATTTAAGTTGATATTATTTTTTAATTTTCGATTTTTTTATTATTTAAACCCCCCATTTTTATTAACCCACTTACAATTTACGTTCAGAAAAGAAGAACCTACTATACAATGAAATAAAGTCGGAACCCCCTCGTATCTTAACCTCGAGCGATGGGAAGCGAAATTTTTCGTCGAGTAAAAAACATGGGTATTTATGCGGTGTTTTGGACGGCGGAGGCGACGATCGTAGAAAATAATATTTTGAAATTTGCCCAGAGTCGATCGGGAGCGTGTGTGAATTTAATTTTACAGAAGTCGTCTGGCTTCGTTCAATAACTAATTGTGGACGGGGAATGGATCGAACGGATCGAACCTCCGAAAAAGAAAATAACACAAAACAATAAAAAAAAATTAAAAACAGGTTGAACCTCTCACTTCGATGTTAGCTGTGCGGTTTTTAAGAGAAATTGGATATAGTCGTTGACAATGAGAGCACTCAGAGTCTAGCCTATGTCCAGCCTCAAATAAAAATTTCCAACGGTTTTCCACTGAGGGATGAAATGAAATATCCTGGATATGAATCAAAATTTTTCACTTGTCGCACGGGTGTCCCAACTAATTATATAAAAGTCAATAAAAAAAAAATAATATACGGTTCCTACCTTAGCAGATAAATGATCTTTCGAAATCACGGCACTCACGGAGTATTTTACTAGGCACTATAGAAGGACGAATAGTTTTCGGCTGTCGGCAATCAAGAGAGAAGAGCTTACGGCGGCCGGCAATCAAAAAAGAAGAGCTTACGGCGGCCGGCAATCAAGAGGGTGTAATTCCTAGATGTGATTGAATTTATGCTTTTCGGTAAACCTGAGTGGCGAGTACCACTACTACAGCCGACTGTTTACAATTTAAAAATAAAAAAATGTCCTTCTAGTACCTTGACAAATAAAGGTAGATAATTGATACGAAATCAACTCTACAATATGCCCATTCGGATTTCGGCAAATATAGGATTATTTTAACCTACGACGGTACTCGCAATTGTTGGAAAACGGTAATTCCTGGGAAACAGAAATTTTCTACATGTCCTCAGGCGGGAATTAATTGAAATATACATTTTTAAATTAATTGAGAGCAAAATTTAGTGACTTCGTCACAAGTGTCTTGGGACCTCTTTTATATATTTATATATTTCTCAAAGACATTAGGTATGTGGAGGGTTGTGAGTCTCATAATGTATTTGTGGATGATAGTATGATTGCAGCTGCAGATGAGAAATACTATAAAGAGTGGTTCTAAACATTAATAATGCACTACAAAATCTATCTAGGTTTTTAAGATACAAATTGCTTCAAAAGATTATCACCACTGAATATAAGTACAGGCAAATAAAGAGATGCCATGGTTTTGCAGTTTTGAAGATGGTTGAGTTTATGTTAAACAGATATAGTATCGAGGAGCAACAATCGAAGTGCAGTTGAATTATGATGTTATAAACTGTAATTTTAGTATCAGTTGATTAATTTCCAGCTACTCTCGTAAAAAAAAGTAGATATAACTAAAATGCTCATCAAAAGTAAGTAAATTATCAAATTTGGAATAATCAGCGTTATCGATATTTAAAGAATTATATTTTTATTTAGTTCAAAAAATAAGAACTTTAGTTTTGCTGACACTTAATTTTAGGTTTAGTTTTAAATAATAACCAGCCTGTTTAAGCATTTTTTATTTATTCATTTTTCTTATGCCATCTTTCAAATTGTTATCACTGCATGCAATCGTGGTATCATCAGCAAAAAGGTTATTAACTTCCAAAGACATTACATTGTAATGTTTTTGGTACATTTACAATCGACAAACAATTCCAAGTCATTTAGGTGAAGTATAAAAGAAGAGAGCCGAGGACACTACCCTGCAGAACTCCTATATCCATTTCAGATAACATCAAATTGTTAAAACACACTTTTTTCTATTAGTAAGATAGTTGTCTAGACAATTATATGCTTTACCACCAATCCCATATTGTTGTAATTTTTTTTTAATAAAATATTCCTATTTAAGGATTTAAATGCCCTTTTTAAATCTAAAAGACACCGATAAGTGTACAGTACGACAAGATTGAGATGGCAAGTCAGAATTAGATGTGCACTGGCAAAAATTCAAAAAATACAAATAGATCACTGAAACAATAGCATCGAAATTCAGTTATTAACTCAGATAACTCCTCCCAGTACATCTAATACTGACTTGCCATCTTAATCTTGTCGCACTGATATTTTCATCTAAATCATTTTTTAATTTACTTATAATCAGTTATAATGCTGATTCACAGGAATATTTTTTTCTGAAACCTGATTTTATTATAATTAAAATGTTCCTCCTTGAACCATCCATTCTTTACTTGTCTTACTATCCAAATTTCGCATTGGTCGGTTTAATCCAAATGAATTCGGTGCGAAAAACGGTAAAATACTGGACTATTACTTTTTGTTTTTTTTTAATTTTAGGTAACCCTCAGTATATTCATGTCTCCCGATGCCTGTCCACGTTCCGTTCGATACATCTGCGGGTGCCTTCAAAAAGCGGTAGTAGCGAAGTGGCCTGATGAACGATTCGTACGGACTCGTGTCGTTTCAGGTTTCATTTTTTTGAGACTCTTGTGTCCCGCTTTACTGAATCCTAGACAATTCGGTTTAGTCAGCGAACAACCTTCCCCGTCTGCCACTAGAAGTCTGGTCATGGTAGCTAAATGTCTACAAAATTTGGCCAACTTAGTGGAATTTGGAGGAAAGGTAAATATTTTAAAACAAAAATCGTTTTTGTAAATTAACATAATAATATTATTTCAGGAACAGTACATGGAGGTGGTAAACCCATTTATTCTCAAAAACAAGGAACGTATGGTGGTTTTTCTAGATCAACTCTCGATGGCGGGCGATCCAGGAGAACCGCGCATCATCTCCAAACCAGACACTGCCAAAGAACTCGCGACATTACATCACATTTGCGTCGCGCATCTCTCTGAACTCCAAGCTGTCGGCAAACTCAATTCGAACATCAAAACTTTGGTAACCGTAACCGAAATGTTAGCCAAGCACAAACAAAAATATCTGGAAATGATCAGATAGTAGTCTGGAGGTGAATCTTTTGTACCGGTGTTGCAGAGTTGAGTCGATGAATTTTAATTGTTTTTTTTTTGTACAGGGTTTTATTTTTTGTGCTAGCTATAGCGCGAGCATAGGTACCTTATTGTTTGTCAGATCTCTTTGCATTTAATTACGGGCAGTCCTTGGAAGACAATCAAAATTTAAAATTAAGGTTATATTTTTTTTTCTTAAGATTTACAAAGTGCCATTTGATTGAAATTTACTATGACGACTTTCGCGACAATTTACAAGAGTTTGTGTAGGACATCTTTTAAAAAATTACAGAGAAGACAAGAATTTAGATTGTGGTACGCCTATTAAAATTGTTTTCAAACCGATACAATTAGGAAGTTAGTAAATACTCTGGATGAATTTGTTGTTATAGGCTATTGATTATGACAAAGAAAGGAACGATCACCTTCGTGGATTTTTATCGCATGAATCGTTCAAATGGTGATTAAAAATTAAAAAACAAAAAAATCGTGAAGTGCTGTTGAATTGGATTGTGGAAATTGGAGATAGGGGTGAAAATGCAACCCTTACAGTTTTTTAAATATGTATCCCAAAAACGAAGCTAGTTAATAGTTATTAGAAATTTTTTGTACAAAATGCGATTATCCATCAATTAGTTTATCTAAAAAAATATTGTGTAATAGTAAAAGCAAAAATATAATTTTTTTTACTTTTTTTTTGAGTGTAACTGTTTTCTGAGCAGCGATAAGTATAGTCATTGCTTCATATAAAAAAATGTAAATTAAATTTATTTTGAAATGGTGGGTTAAAAAAGTTTTTTTGAGTTAAAACTGACTAAGATATAGCCGCTCAAATTTATCTATTTTTTTTTATCTCGTTTACTTTATATCTTTTCAGTTTTTATTTTTTCACAATATAATTGATTTTTATTCAATAAAAACAGTATTTTAAGTTAATTTGTGGGATTGCGTATTATCAGTAATTGAACAAGAGAAAATTTTGCACTTTTTAATAGTTTGCAGAAAAGCTGGAAACGACAGTTGCTTAACACGTTGACTGCCACCTACGAGTTGGAAAGAGAACAAAAAAAAATCAAATCTGGCTTACAGGGTCAGAAAATTTATTAATATATGATCATAAATTTATTGAAAATCAAAAAATAAATATTTTTGACTTATGTCATTGTTGTAAGAGATGAGCGATGTGTTAACTGTCTACTTTGCAATAGTGTTTATTTGTTTTTTAAGCATTAATCTAAAAAATGGCGATTTTTGACTCATGTCATAATTGCAGCCAATGAACGATATTGTTGTTTATTTTTTATTATGTGTTTATTAAAAAAAAAAAGGAATTTTTGACTTAAGTCATTATTGTAGCAACTGTCTTCTATCCAATGGTGTTTATTTGCTTTTTCATATATTTATCTGAAAAATGTCGTTTTTTGATTTATTGCAGCAAATATGCGTATGTCACCTGTCTACTATACAAAGTTGTTTTTTTTTTTCTATTAATTAATCTTAAAAATTGCCATTTTTGACTTATGTCATTTTTGCCGTTAATTAACGATATGTCAACTGTCTACTATACAATGTTTATTTGTTTCTTTTATACGTCAATTAGAAAAAAACGACGATTTTTGACTTATGTCATTATTATAGCAAATAAACGATGTACCAACTTTACAATAGTGTTTGTTTCCTTGTGAATTAATCAAAAAAAAAACGGCTATTTTTGACTTATGTCATTATTGTACCAAATGAGCGATGTCAACTGTCTACTTTGCAAATGTGTTTATTTACTTTTTTAAGCATTAATCAGAATAATGGTGATTTTTGACTTATGTCATTATTGTAGCAAATGAGCGATATGTCAACCGTACTTTGCAATTGTGTTTATTTGCTTTGATATGCGTCAATTAGAAAAAACGGCGATTTTTGACTTGTCATTATTATAGCAAATAAACGATATACCAACTTTCCAATAGTGTTTGTTTCCTTGTGGATTAATCAGAAAAAAACAGCTATTTTTGACTTATGTCATTATTGTAGCAAATGAGCGATATATCAACTGTCTACTTTGCAAATGTATTTATTTACTTTTTTAAGCATTAATCTCAATAATTACGATTTTTGACTTATGTCATTATTGCAACAAAGGAGCGATATGCCAACTGTCTACTTTGTAAATTGCGTTTATTTGCTTTTCAAGCATTAATATGAATAATGGCGACTTTTGATTTACAGTAGCAAATGAGCGATATGCAATGTTGTTTATTTGTTTTCTATGAGTTAATCTAAAAAATTGGTGTTTTTTGACTTGTCAATATTGCAGTAAATGAACGATATGTCAACTGTCTACTATGCAATGTTGTTTTTTTTATGCGCCAATCGGAAAAACGGCAATTTTTGACTTATGTCATTATTGTAGCAAATAAACGATATACCAACTATCTAATTTACAATAGTGTTTATTTGTTTCCTTATGCATTAGTCTAAATAATGGCGATTTTCAACTTGTCATTATTGTAGTATTTGAGCGATGTGTCGACTGTCTACTCTGCAATGTTGTTTGTTTTTGAGTCTTTAAAAATGGCGATTTTTTACTTATATCATTTTTGCAGCAAATAAATGATATGTTAACTGTCTACTATGCAATGGTGTTTGTTTTCTTTGAGTTAATCTAACAAAAATGGCGATTTTTGATTTATATCGTTATTGTAGCAATTGAACGATATGTCAACTGTCTACTATGCAGTGGTGTTTTATTTGTTTTGTATGCTATAATCTGAAAAATAGCGATTTTTGACTTGTGTCATTATTGTAGCAAATGAACAATATGTCAACTGTCTACTTTGTAATGGTGTTTATTTGTTTTCTTATGCAGTAATCTGAAAATTGGCGATTTTTGATTTATGTCATTCTTGCCGCTAATGAACGATGTCATCCGTCTACTATGCAATATTGTGTATTTGTTTTTTATGTGGTAATATGAAAACACGACGATGAAAAACATGTCCATATATGATTTTAATTGCAAAATATTTTTATTTATAAATTTGACGATTTTTTGCCAATGATATAACAGTTTTTCACATTCATAAAAATATCGAATTTTTATTAACTTAAAATACTTTTTTGATTGAATAAGAATGAATTTTGTAATAAAAAAATAAAAATTAAAACGATATCAAGGTAAAATCTAAAAAAGAATAGCTAAGTTTGAGCAGTTATGTCTCAGTACGTTGTTATAAAAAAAAAAAAAACTTTTGTAATCTACCTTTTTAAAGGAAATTAATTTACTTTTTTTACATGAGGCAATTCCTATAATACCTATCTGTTCAGCCAACAATTATACTGTTAAATGTTAAACGAATTAAATTCAAAATTATTGTTGTTAAATAAGTGATTACCCTGTTTAAGTACTATAACACCCTGTATAGCTTTTTCACAAAACACGTATTGACATGATGGTTTTATAAGTAACAAAATACAACACAAAAAATTGTATTTTTAGATTAATATTTTCTACATACTTTTTAAATAAACTATTTCGATGGAAAATTGCATTTTGTACAAAAAATATCCTATTAATTATACCTGAATTTTGTTTAGTTTTCGAGATTTAATTAAAAAACTGTAAGGGTTGCATTTTCACCTTTATCTCCTATTTCCACCCTCTAATTCAATAGCTCTCCGCGGTTTTCTCATCTTTAATTCCCATTTGAAGATTCATGCGATAAAAAACCCACAAAAGTGATCTTTTCTTATTGTCCTCTTTTTTTTGACATAATCAATAGTTTATTGTGTATTTTTGTAACTATGAAAACTTAGACTGCACATTGTGTTTGTTTTTTGATAAGACTGCCAAATATACTCCTAAGTCAGTAGATTTTACCTAACAGATTAGAGAATTTATGCATTTTTTAGAACTCGGACTTAAGTTTAATTATTTTATATTATTTTTAATCATATACAAGGTGTTCTGCTACTTTTGATTTCTATAATACGTAATTATTTATATAACTATTTTAGAACATCGTGTATACTGATAATATGTGCTATATTTAACAAACAAATCTCTTCGTTGAATCTAAATCGTTTCTATTATTATATTTAAGCATTACCTTTTTTTTAAGAACAAGTGTACGTGAATTTAGTGACGAAGAAAAAAGATATGTTGTTTTTAAAATCCATTATAAAAATTGTATCATTTCATTTTTAAATATTTTTATTTTTGATACTTTTTTAAATTTTTATTATTGTGATACATCTCAAAATGCTTTATAATTGATATAACTTGTTATAATACGTTAGGGAAACATTTTTAAATTTCCCTATTAAAAAAAGTGATAATGTTTCTGACTGACATTCTTTAATTATTTTTGTTTTATAACGTGTACAAATTTTGCATTTTTTAATTTACTGTCAATATGGATTTGAAACTTTCTTAAAAATGAATTTAATATCCATTATCACCTTATTATATACCGAGCGTCCCATAGATTTGTATCTGGCTATCTAAATTATGAACAGGATAAAACAAATTAAAATATGGTTTATATGGGATGAAAACATTTTACTACCCCTTTTCAAATGACCCACCCCCTAGAAACATGGGACATATGGTAAATGTTAAATTTCTTTTGACTTTGAGCAAATAAATAGCGATTTTGAACAAAAAATCAATCAAACAAATCAAAATTCTATCTAGAATTTGATTTTTAAAAACTTCAGAGTAATGTTTTCATTTTTATGCTTAGTAAAAATATCGAATAGATAGTCATTTTAAAATCTCCAAATATTGTATATTACCTTATAAATATTGGAACTAGATGCAAGCATATATAACAATTTTTATTTACTTATTTTTTTATTATATGTATAGAGCATATTTGTGAACAATTACACTTATTTTCTAAATGAAACAAAATGCATCGTCAACTTTACTATGGCGAATTTTTGGGTATGTATATCAATACAATTATTGTAGATCACTGTATACTATCTCTTCATATGTACTTTTGTATTAAAGAATATTCATTTACAATTAGTCTCTAATTTTAATCTCAACAATATGGGTACAAATATATTTTTATTTATTTATTTTACAAATTTATAGGTGTATAAAAAAATAGCATAGACTTTAGTCGGCCGCATTAGGGATTACAACTTGCGTCGATGTAATATTCCTATATCACCGTTATTAGGAATATATGCAAGAGCATTGCTAATTAAATAAATGTAGTGCGAGCCATTTTTGACTAGTTCGGTCATGTTCTAATCCCGGTTTGGGCCTTTTACAGTTTTACGGCCCCACTTCTCTTATGGGTGCTTTCGAATTTGGTAGGAAAATTACACTAATAAGGATAAAGGTAAGTTTGGCAACATTATTAAAAATGTGTGGCGCTCGGGGACTGCCGCGGTAAAGCTATTGCATAGCATTTTTATCAACTTATGCAATTATAATTATTTATTTTATTTAGGCAGTATTTTTTTTTTTCTTTGATAATTAAGTTACACTTTTTGAGTGTGGTGACCGATAAGAAAACAATTTTTTTTTGTTTTATTGAATAAATGAGAAGTTAATATTGTTTAAAATATTTTTATATGTATATATGTATTTTATTCAGGAATTTTTATCATTGAAACTATAGGTTTATGGTAACTGAAATAAGAAACATAAGTTTGAGACTTGATATCCTCTAAATATCTGGAAAATACCGCGTCAATGGAGGTCCCATATTTTGTTGTGGATTCTTGTGGATCATTATTCATTTTTAAATTCAATTTTTCCGAAATTGTGTCTAAAAAAGATAGAACTGCTCATAACTGAGAGCAGTTAGCAGCTAGTCTACACGCATACGTCTAGTCGCACGCACACAAACACCGTGCCGAACTGAAACGACGTTAGACGATGCACGGCTTTCAACGCCGCCCGCTATGCCGGTCGGAGTTAAGGGTGTTAGTTTATTTTCGTTACGGAATTTATTTTTTGATTTTACGATTTGATTTTTCGATTTTAATTTTTTTGATTTTTCGATTTTTTAATATTTTCGGTTTTTCGAATTTCTTTTATTGAATAAATGAGAAGTTAATATTGATTAACGCCGCACAGCTGTGCCGGTCGGAGTGGTTTTTTTTTTCTTGATTCGGTCGCCGCGCTCAAAGCCCGCGATAAAAACTATGCAATAGCTTAAAAGACCCAATAAGTGGTTGCAAATCATTCATTTATGGCGGATTATTTTAAAGAAACTAAAAATGATTATTTTATTTGTGTATGCCATAAGTTCCATAATATGAATTTATTTGTATATTAAATACACTAAAGTCTATTCAGATTTCATTTACACCGCGTCAAAACAATTTCTCCCATCCAGCAACAGCTCACGTGACATTTTTTTGCGCTTCTATTGGTTAATCGGTCGTTAGTCATTTAGATTTAGACGACGCGCAAATATTTTTTGTCAGAGTCGAATTCAGTTCAATTTGGATAATTATAAACGGCGTTTTGGTAGCATTCACCGTGTTGGTTAGTTTGGACATTTTGTATGTTTGATTGATTATAATTCATTATATTATAGTTTAGATATAGATATATTGTGTTATTTTTTTGTTTTTGTGGTTGTTGTTAGTTTGAACATGTTTTACTCTATTTTATGGACATTTAATTGACTATATTTTGTAATTGCTGCGTGACACTATGTCCTCCACAGATACAGCAGATGAAGTCCAGAAAAATGTTTTTACTCCTTCTAAAAAGCGACTGAAAAAGGGACATTTGGTCATCTGTACTAAAGAAAAGGTTCTTAATATTTATAAGCATTAAATTTTATAGAACCCTGATATGTTGGTACATGATGTTGAAAGTAGAGTTGCTGATAAAACAGGGATGTGCGCTAAAACCGTTTTTAATGTTATGAAGGAGTATAGGCAGATTCATAAATTATCGGAACCAAAAAGAAAGCTACGTTATAAACAAATTAGTGGCTCTGTGGATGATTTTGTTAAAAATGCAATAAGGCGCAAAGTACATCAATTCTTCTTTAGAAATTAACTTCCAACAATTGATAAGGTTTTATAAGAAGTCAACGATGATCCATATTTGTCTACTTTTAAACGAGCTACATTTTACAAGCTTTTCAAAACCTTTAAATTTAAAACTCGAGGAAAAAATAGTTTGCTTTTAGACAAAAATGAAATTGTTTCGTCCTACGCCACAAAAAATAAAACGGTACAGAGAAGAAAAGCAAAAAATATATTATCTTGATGAGACTTGGATTAACGCAGGCCACACCAAATCAAAAGTATTTTTCGATATGTCGGTTTTTTCATCCAGACAAGCCTTTTTGGATGAACTTTTAACTGGTTTTAAAAACCCATCAGGTATGTGCGTAAAAACAGCTCATTATATGCCATATTAAAAGTGAAGAAGGCTTTGTCTCTAATGCACTTTATGTATTTGAGTTGAAAAATCCGGTGACTACCATGAAGAAATGTGTGGAGAATCATTCAAAGAGTGGTTTTCAAACACCCTACCAAAATTAGAAGATAACTGCATTATTATTCGAGAAAGCTGGAAAAAATATCTACGACGTCTATAAAAGGTGACATTTAAAAATGGCTATAAGGGAAAAAAATTGAATTCGACTACCAAATGCTTAAGATCCAACTTCTAAAACTTGGTAAGCAACATAAACATTATGATAGGTATGTAATAGATGAAATGGCTAAGCAGCAAAACAACATAATACTTCATACATGTCTCCGTATCATTGTGAACTTAACCCTATTAAATTAATCTAGGTTGACGTTAAACAATACGTAGCAGATAAAAACTCAACATTTAAATCTGGAGACATTAAAATTCTTTTTGAAGAAGTAATATTATTAATTTCTCCAGAAAATGGAAAAAGTGTATCGACCATGTTCGCCAAAAAGTTGAAATAAAAATGTGGGAGTTGGATATTATAGAGGTTCAGGTAGAACCACTTGTAATTTTGATTAATGAAGATAGCCTTTCAAGTCTAACTAATTTATCCGATTCACAATAGTGCTAAGTCAAGTAAGGAAGATTGCTATAATACAGGGTACAAGTTGTCTAATCTAAATACTAGTAGAACAAGAACAATAAAGAACAAAAGTTATCAAAAATACAAAAGGTTTCTTTTTAAGATGCACAATTTTAAATCAAATACCAAATACCTCTTATATTTAAAGTTTTTTTAATGCTATTAGTAGATATATATTAGCTATTAAAGAATTTGCAATTATTTGGACACCCTGTACAATATAATTTTATAATATGATTGTTTTAATGCTCTGTATCACAGTAGGCATATGTAATGAACTAAATATAATGCAACCATCTCTTTTAAAGTCAAATTCATTTATTAATTTGTATTGCAGCTTAACGCAGTTTATGTCACTCACCTATCTTCGTCCAGAAATGTCACTAAAGTCTGGGAGACCGTGTATGGCATTTATTTTATAGTTTTACTTTACAAAATACGTTTTTATCGTAATAAAAAAATAATTTTACAATTACTTTTATTTTACATTTTAGCGTCCACCTGCTTACATCAGCCGTAAATTAAATTTGAATAGACTTTAATTCATAGATATACCATTTTACTTTCTGGTAACATAAAAAATATTATTTTATTTCATTTAAAAGTAAATTTTTATAAGCGTAGCCAATATTCCTCTTCCGTCCCAATTACATGGTCTATTACTTTTCCCCAACTTGCAGATGGTAACTTTTCCACTTCTTTAATTAAATTAACTACAGCTATAGAAAATTTCTGGTTTCTATTGTTTCTTCTTAGATAAATTACAGCCCAAATTAACTCGATTGGGTTCAATATACAAAAATAAGAAGGTAGTCTAAGAACTTCTTTTTATAATCCTTTATAGATACAACCTATAATAATTAAATTTTTGTGTAATTTTCTATGTACTACACATTTTCTTCATAAAGAAATTCTTGTACTTCCGATTTTTTCTAGGAAGAATTTGAAACTTGCTTAAAAATTAATTAAAATGATTTAATAGCCATTATCACCTTATTATATACAGAGTGTCCCATAGATTTGTATATGGCTGAATTTTTCTAACCAATCTTGAGTGACAAGAGGCGTTGTCCGAAAAGCATAAACATACTTTAAAAAAATTATAAACGAGGCAAGCAATAAACAGACCTGGAAAATAATAAATTACTTAGGAGAAAAATCATGTATAAACAAAAATTATAGAGATCGATATCGCAAACAATTTTCATAAAAATCATAATTTTGCACTTTTTGTCAAATTTCAGGAAATTTTGACATAAAACAAAAATTATAGATAATATTAGAAGTAACTTTTATTTAAACAAATTTTTTCTCCAAACAAATAACATATATTCCATAAAATATAAAAACAGCCTTCCATAAAGTACCTCCCCAGATGTTCCGACTTTGTCCAAAATCTAATCATTTCACGTCAGGCAGAAATAAAAAGTTTAAATTTTTTTTTTCTTTCTTTATCTGTTTTTGAGTTTTCTTCAAATTTCGAAATTTACACATTTTCTCAAATATCTCGAATACGGTCCATTTTAGAGAAATTATGTATAGGATAAAAATTATAGAGAATTATATTACAAACAAATTTTATTTGAACAATTTTTATAAAAAAAATATTTTTTTACATTTTGTCAAATTTCTTGCATACGGACCATTTTAGGAAAATTATAGATAATAATAATATAAGAAGTAACTTTTATTTGAAGAATTTTCTTCCCCAAATGTAAATAACAGATATATTCCATAAAATATAAAAATGACCACCTATAAAGCCCTACTGAAATCGACGATTTTTATTCCTTTATTGGTCCTAATATGTCCACCCAAATAACTCCTTTGACTAATGCTTTGTCTTATTTAAATAATATCTAAATATTAATGATTAATTTTATTTTATACCAACTAAAGTTGCAGAAATTAAGGATATCATCTCCTCTATCACAAAAAAGAATTCCTCAGGTTGGGATGAAATTTCAGTTAATCTCCAGAAGATGCAATAAATGTTTTAGCATTCATTTTTGCAGGTTCTTTCAGTGTTTCTTTAACAATAGCCAATGTTATACCTGTGTACAAGAGTGGTAATTGTAATTGTCCTTCTATCGACCCATATCTTTAATACCCACTTTGGCAAAAATAAAGGAAAAATTGGTTAAGATCTCTGCTAGGCGTTTCTTAAAAAACATGGAGTGCTATCTACTTATTTGGTTTTCAATTGGGTAAAAATACTACACATGCTATGTTTTCTGTTCTAGAGAAATGATAACTCAATTTAAATGATAACAGGGTAGCTACTGCAATGTTTTGTGATTTATCTTGTTTTTTACTGTGTAAATCGCAAAATATTTCTAAGCAAGCTGGAAAGATATGGATTCCAAAGAATAACTCTAGTAGTAGTTCCAGTCTTATTTGGAGACTAGAGTACAAAAAGTTTCTTTCAATAAGCAAATGTCAACGATTGCTATGATTTATTGTAGGGTTCCTCAAGGATCTATTCTAATACCAGTTTTATTTTTACTTTATGTTAATGATATTAATGGATACTTTACCATATTTGCACATGATACAACAATACTCTGAAAGTGAGAATATTGAAGAGTTGTCCAATATGATTAACAACGACATCTGAATAAAAACGTTTTTCATAATTAACATAGTTTTAGTATTTTTCTGTACTTCTTTAACAAAAACGTTTTAACATTGCTGTTAACTAAATTACCAACGAAGATGCAGTTAGTATATACTCTGTGGGGATTCAGCATCAAAGGCTCGGTAACACATTTTTACAGGACCCTGAAATTGTGGAAGTTTCATTAGGTCTGTTCTGATAACAATCATAAACCATAAAAGTATTATTTTAATTCAAATTACAAGTATGTGAAAAAACAAGATCCAGACACTGGAATCCAAATACATTTTGAGATGAATAAAGTATCCAACCCAACTCTGATGGTACTACATTATTGGTTTTAGACAATATTATAAATAATTGAAAATATAGTCTTTTCAGGCCATAATTTAATTTAATAAAAACACTAAATTAAATATTTGTCACCATTGTCTTAAAAAAATAGGCACCAGACATGTAAAATTAGATTTTATTATGAAAATAGAAGTAACCTGCTAAAATATAAATACAAATTATCTATACTCATCATTGGTATTAAATACAGACAGTTTAAATATTACTTTGATGTATAAAATCTAAACTATTCCAGAACCTATTAATTAAAAAATAATATCGACACTGCCATAATAATACAAAACCCTCCAATCCATGGTGATTTTCGTTCACCTATTCTTGCACATTTCCATAACGTTTTCATGAATCTAAAAAATTAAATGTTAGTCAAAAATAACTAATATAATATAATTATTTGCATACCCAGTTCTGTTTTTGTCAAGAATACTTGGAAAAAGTCCTCTTAAATAAGTACAGGTACATAATATTAGTAATATAACAGTTAATAAACTTTGAAAATTGAATATGGCAGACTAAAAATGAAAACAATATTATTTAATTATAGTAATTTAGTTTTAAAACTTACCATTTTTGTTTAAAATAATTTTAAATTCTGAAACATAAAACATAACCCACAAAAATTGTCGAATCGAAATGTCAATTGTCAACATCACCGACGCAGAAAACGTATTTTGTGTTGCCTATATCTTGGCGCAATATTTTTGATATATACTGCTCAGCAATTGAATTGGTCTTGAATTTTATGTGAATTTAAAAACAATATTAAAATAATCAAGGAACTAAAAAAAGAGGTTAACGTCTGTGTGCGCGCAGCTTATAGAAGCAAAGAAAACTTTTATTTCTTATAAATTTAAAAAACAAAATGTTTTTGCAAGAAATACAAATGCTTTCATTTTTCTTTATTCTTCTTTTTTTAATAGATTAGGTATATTAAATGAAATAATACTAAAATTGTATTATAATATTTTTGAGGGAATAAATCTAACAATGTGAAGATCGTCAGGTAAAATTTATGTTGCGGACAAATTTAATGTATTCAATCCGATATGTTTAGCAGAATCTTGTAGCGTTTTTATTGATTGCCTCTCAAAATTATAACATTCCTAGAATATATTTTTGAATTTTTGAAATAACATTTGTTTTTCATAACCTATATTTTTTCATTGACTTAAAAATGGCCGGTCCTGCACATGAACCATATGATGATCCTAAGTTGCAAGGATTTTCAAGATATTTCAATAATCAAACCATTAAGGGAAGGGCAAATGTAAGTTTTTACATTTGAAATGCTTGTAGATACCTACTATAACAGTGTAAATATATTTTAGGTATCTTTGGCCACATTAGTTTTTCTTTTTACCGGATTTACATGTATAAAAGTAATGAAGAGAAAAGATTTGTCAAATATGCCAAAATCTGAAAATAGTGAAATTTCAAAATAAAATTATATGCCTCCAAAGAAATCACCTCCTGTTCAGTCAAATTTAACCAAAATTGTAAGTAATTGGAATTCATTTTGATAGTAAATTATTTTATGAATTTTTAGATTGCAGTAGGAGTCGGAGCCCCCCTTAGTTGTTATTTAATTTATGAATATATTTTAAAACAATACTATGATTGTTCATCTCGGCCAAAAAAATAAACGTATTATACAGTAAGTACAAATGGCACTTTTTTTACCTGTAATTTTTAATGCATTAGATTTCTAATTGCTCTTTTGGTCAATTTAGATTTCAGATTTTTTAAATTATATATTATAATTGTTATTTTTTATCGATATCTACTAATAATTAATAATCGATGACGCAGTTGCTTTGGTACTTTTACAATATAGAGAACAATCTAAATCTATTGCTACCAAAATAATCTAAGATTGCTACTCAAATTTTTCACAAGGATCAATTTACGAGTTGTCAAGCATGTACTGTAGTTCGCAATAGGACTGACTGGGTGCAGTCATTTTATAGCCCATCTCCTATTTTCTGTTTCACATTGTTATTATCTTGTCCATCAGCTGTGCCATCAGTCTGGTGAGTCAGGATTTTTTCAGAGTGAAATAGAAAATGGTTATCATAATTACTCCCGAGTGAGAAGAAAAATAAAATGGCTGCGCCCATAGAATAAATTCGGTGCATAGAATCCTGAGGAGCATATATAGAATAGAGTCGCATCTCAGCACATACTTTGATTTTCTTTTACTATACGGAGAAAGGTCGCACTGCGCAGCTTTCTGAGTGCCTTTTAAAAGGAGATAGAAAACTCCGCCATTTTGAACCCTTATTACGTGTTGCCTACATCTTGGCGCAATATTTTTAATAGGTGCGTTTTAATCATCCGCTTCTGCTTCGGAATTGTCGGTTTTCTTGTTTTAATCTGACAGGTTAAAACGACTAAACCGACAATTCCGGAAGCAGAAGCGGATGATTAAAACGCACCTGATATTTTGCTTGCTGCTGTCAGTGTCAGTGACTATTATTTTTGGAGTCACAGTTTATTGCTAAAGAATCAGTTAGCTCACTCGGACCAGTTGAAAGTTCCAAAATAACATTCACTCTAGGAATACAAATTCAGGATACGCAAAAGACTGCTGTTTTATTATAGGCGGTTGTCATATATTGTATTATCTGAGTTGCGCAGTGTATAAACTGGAACATTGAGATAAAAAGTGCCGACGCAGAGTGAGCGATCTGATTCTTTAGTTATAAACTGTGTCATAGGGTTCAAAATGGCCGCGCCCTATGTTGGGCGTGTCGGACCTCTCTCTTGCCCCGTGTAGTAATCAAAGTATGTGCATCTCAGTCCAATTGACAGGTATTCTAACCTACTGTTATTGGCGGCTGCCAATACTTTTCTGATAGTCTTCTGCTAGTGTTATGTATCCAGACCTTAGACTAGGTAGTCTAAGATCCAGACGGATGTCTGTTGAGGTGTCAAGTGATTTAGCCTTTCCAGTGGTAGTCTCCACAATCAGAGATAAGGGAGATAAAGACAGGAAACGCTCATAAGAAGCCAATTCTTAACAACGACCCTGTCGGTATGTTCCTGCGCATGCAGGTGACTGACGGTGACGTCACGTGGGACAGAATTACAAGCATTAAATAGGAGATAGTGTTTAAAATTCGATATTTTGCCAATTTTAGATTTTATGCAGTTAAGATATATTGTTTATTTTGTAATATATTCGTTTACAAATATGAAGGTTTAAGGTAAATAATACTAATAAAAATATTAATTTTTCTCATAAATTATAGGTATTTTGTGACAAAATCCATAACCTGGCCATAAGATAAGTAAAAGATATAGACTAAAAATACAAGTTTGGCTCAAATTTGTACTTTCTGGGCGTAGTAGTTCTCTTGCACTCTCTTTTCTTATTACGTGAAATAAAAATAAGTGTGCAGAAACAAAATATTTACAAAAAGTAAGTAGGTACACAAAAACATTACTTTTTATCAGGTAAATTTAAACATTTTTTTGTCAAGTTTACTTTGAAAATACTCCAAACCAATTTTCCTATTCATTTATCTTATTCTTATATATGTTCGGGTCCTGTTCATGCATGGCATTACTTCAAAAGGACCGTTGTATTGGGACAGGAAACTACTGTTTTATCTGCTAACATTTTTAAATACCGATTTATTTTCTTTGCTTAATGAGGCCCGTACACCTGGTGCAATTCAGTTTCCTTTTCTTGCGTCTATGTTTATGAGAAATCTCACAACCACTTTCCTCAAAATGGATAAGGCAATTTCAATTAGGTTTGTCCTTTTTTCGATAAGAATTTACCCATATTGTGTGGCATTCGGAAATATCTCCACTGCGCAGCCCGGCATTTTAAACATTAATTTAGTTCTTCCCTGTTATATATAGGAAAATATAGTCAATACTAACACAAAAACATATAAATTATTAAATTATTTTAGACTATTCAATCAAAAAGTGTAAAAATAACTTGAAAGTTCGTCCCGCATTACGTCATGCGCGGTTTGGGCGAATTTTGGATCGACAACGACTAGCTTTAACGCAGTTAACATCTGACCCTCTATGTGGCGCTTTCATCGATATCAAACAACGCAGCGGGAAATTTGAAAAACCTAATAATAAAGGTTGTGTAAATATCTACTGCACTCTCACGTTCTGGTAAATAAATTTAAACAATGTAATTACGCTAAATTATTTATTAAAATGAATATTATACTTACAGTCTATTATCGATTAATTATTGTAAATCTATTCATGACAAATATTTTTTAATTTAAATATTTTTAATCTGAGACGCAGAGTAGACGCCATCGTTGCTGCGGTCGTTCATTTCCTATCTTTATGTCCCTAATCTCTGTCCACAATATTATATAATTATACTTTATCAAACATTTTTTGATTTTCAGTATTATTAAAGTCTCAATTTTAGACGAGATTCCAAAGTTGTAACGTTTTTGTTTATGAACATAAAAAATTTGAACATAGATATAAAACAGTATCATTCATTATATTAAAAACTTCTGTATGATCCTAGCAAAATGGCGTCGTCTGACAAACCTCTTTCTGCTTGTGGAAAAACGTGACGAGTACAAATCAAAGGTGCTGCTTGATACTCGTTCTACTGATTGTTCTCTATACTGTTGTACTTTATTTATTACATTTGGCATGTACAAAACACTGGTTTTGTTACAGAAACAGATCAAATGTCAATTTTGATTTTGAAGTTTCTTTTCATTTAAAATTTATAGTAAGACATGGGGAAATGCGGTAAATCTTCTGGGTGGCTTGAAGGAGTAAGTAAACATATTTTTTAATTCTTATAAAACATGATTCGAGTTGGTACTAATTTCTGTTTTTGTTTAACTAATTATTTTTTGATATGAGAAGAAAGTATATGTTCGATAACATTATTTACTATATCATTTTGCACACTTAGGTAGTTTTAAACGAATTTTTGATTTTTTTAGATTATTGCGCTTGCACTAGCAACAGGCAGTGGATACTATCTCTATGATAATTGCATGAGACATATTTTTTTTCCTTGTCCCCCTGGCTGCTCATGTAATCATTGTTTAAGGAAAAGATCATATTGAAGAAATAAGATCCTTGCAAATAGTCGATATCTGCAAGTTTGTAATTCACCTAAAGTGATAGGGATCTTAAAAAAAATAAAAGTTTGTATTTTAATTTTAGATTTTAAATTTACAATTAAATGGGTGGAGTCGTTGGTTTATTTCGAAGACGACCTATGCAAGCTTACCTTCCTTCCTATTCAAAACATCCACCAAGGCGTGTATGTCCACAACCTCGACCTCCATGTAGAAAAGTCGAAAAAGTAAATAAGCCTTCAAAATGTGCTTCTGAACCAAATAAACAAAAAAAATGCAAGGATCCCCCTTCCATATCAAAATTTAAGAAGGTAAATAAATATAATTGTCACCTTATGAGTTGATAATTTTATTCCAACAGAAATATACGATAGTTTTTAAGTAGAAAGACAAAACATATATGAATCTCATTTTTTATTTTAGATTGCATCAACCAGTTCTGCATCAGCCATAATTGGCAATTACTTATTTGCTAAACATTGCATTGAGTAATGAATGCACAAATATTGTGAGAACGAAGAAAAATGTAAATAAAGAGGGTTAAAAACAAATACTTTAGGCTTTTATTTTACTTCATACCTTCAAATGAACTTTTATTAACTTTAAAATGTTATTAGTCATCTAGTAAGATTGGTTGAGTTAGTTTCCTCAGTACAGATTCTTCATAGTTTTGAATGGTTTTTTATTTTACTAACATTGAGAAGATCCTAGCAATATTAACAAAATAATATCGAGAAAATATTGCCCAGAATAGTTTAAAATCCACAAATCCACGCATATTACAATAAGCCGTGGAAAACCATCCCTTTTATAGGTCTAAGTAAATCAATGGTAGATTCCCAATAGCCTAAATCTGCTGTAAGTAAATAAACTTAGTAAATAGTAGAAAAACTCTATTGCTATTACAAACTATTTCGATCGTGATAAATGAAATAGCACCACCTAATAAAATGGTTGCTGTATAGCATTGATATGGCAAGTGCTTTGTATTAAGGGTTTTTCCCTTCAGCTCCTTTCTGATTAAAAGGTCGCTAATTATGATTTTCTAAGTGTGCCTATAAAAGTTATGCAACTAACAATGCCACCGAAAGTAATATCGGTTGCATAAACAATTTTATTCAAATTCCAAGTGCTCATTCAATGCAAATTAAAAAAAATACATTTCTTTACAACAATTTTGCAAATGCTCATTTTCTGAAATTGTTGATTGAAAGAGCAAAATAATACAAGTAAAAAAATGTTTGAGGGTAAAATTATTAGGTCCGCGCGGTGCGCCAATGATTTTGACATGTGCCTTTGTAAAAAATATGGCACCAATTTGACATATCAAATGAATATTCAAAAATAAAATT